TCGCCGACAGTTTCCGAGGTTGGCTGGGTGGTGGTGGGTGAGTGGGGTCGGCCGGAGGAACCGATAAAACGTACGGCTCCCGCACTGAAGTGTACGTGTTTATTTATGCCGATTTAACGGTGAATTTACGCCCGGGCACGAACGTGTTTTAATTGATAAACTGAATCCGAACCGGCGACGTGAACGCACGGTTTTTTGATAAATCCGCAATCCGGACAAACAATAAATCAAACGGATTAGTCCGCCGTCCGTTCAATCCGGATATTCAACGAAATCGAGACACGCTTACAAATGTAGACATTAAATTCATTATTTCGAGTAAGTAAAAACGTGACAATGCGGTAAAAAACATAGACGGACGTACTCCGCACGACTGGCGCAGTCGCTGTTGTTTGTGGAAAGTTGCGAAGGTAGGATATTAGACACTTTAAAGAGACATTTTTTTTTTTTTGATTTTTCACGAGAATTTCGTGATCGTTGAGAAAAACAGGAACATTTGCGAAACGTACGGTTTTAAACTTTGCTATTTGTTGTGATCCAGTTGAAAATATTCGCGGAGACTTTAAGTTTGGACAGAAAACTTATACTTGCCTTCGCGGTAAAACGCTCAAAACGTTTTCGAGCTAATTATAAAACACGTTAACTTTGCGAGTTGAGTGTGTGATTTTAATTCGGCAGCTACACTCCTCCGCGGTAAAATTGTTGGACCAAAGAGAAACGGTCGAACGTTCGAACGTTCGAAAATCGTACTTTGCGGTCAGAAAGAAACGAAAAAAAAAAAAAAGAGAATCGTTTTTTTCGTTGACGTCGGACGTTCGACCGCCGTCACGCGCGCGCGCACGTTGAACTCCACACGGTATCCTACGCCGCCCGCCGCTTCTCGTCTAAAACGGTGGCTCCGGACTGGCACGGAGCCCGTTCGGTTTTTCGGGATTCCAAGCGCGCGCATCGCCGAGACCCACAACCTTATCCGTGAGGTCGCCGTAACGCGAAAACGCGCGCAACAGCGATAATGGCATTGCACACACGTGCGCGATGTCGCGTACCGTTGCGGCGTGCCCGGCGTCTCGTACCGAAAATTTAGCGGACGTCGACGGCGCCGGTACGACGGCTCGCGGTAATTTACGGCCGCCGTCCGCCCGGGCAGAATTTATTGCCGCCGCCGCCGCCGCACACACCTCACAAACGAGACGCGCGCGAGCGTTGTAATAACGACGACAATAACGACGACACCGCCGCGCGGCGGCGGCGGTTATTCGCGACCGTTATCGTTGTCGTCCATATTGTTATCGTACGTTATCCGTACGTCCGACCGTCCGACCGCGCGTACGATACCGACGACGATATCGTCGTCGTTGTTATTATTTCGTACGGTACCGACGCGCACAACACTCGCCCACGCGCGTGTATATTATCACCGACACCGTATGGTGTCGGCGTGCGCGTCCTACCGGTCGCCGTGAACACGCGACAGAGGACCGTCGGGCGCCGCGGACGCGGCGTTCACGTCAGGGCGGCGCAACAAGCGCGCGCCTGTCCGGCGTGGACGTATTTTTTTTTTTTTTTATCGAAAACGCCAAGAGCCGATCGCAACGAACGCGCGACAACCGGCGCTGTACGGCGCACGAAGCAATCCGATTCGCGTCGAACGGCAAACGCGGACGCGCACGCTGGACGGTACGCGTTCCGCGCCGGGCGCAACAGGCGATTTCAAGAACGAACGGGAGAGGGGGGGGGAAGGGGATGTGACGCGTCACCCGAACCGCCACCCCCCCCCCTCCCTCTGAGGATAACCTAGCCGATTGCCGATAACGCCGACGATTCATTCGTGGGGCCCGGTCACGAAACGCAATCCCCGCGTCGTTATCACGCGGTATCACGTCCATTGTCGCGATCACCGAAAAGCGGGCGTGACTCAACCCCGCGGTACATTGTTAGATGCGCGATTACACAACACGCGATTGTAATAGAGACCGACCACGGCGAACAGTCGCGGATAAACGCAATAATTAATATCGCAGCGAACTGTCGGCACTCGACCTTTAGGTGTGACCTTATTAATTCGGTACCCGTGAGCAGTACTGGTGATCGCTGTTGGTACGTGAAAAAATAACGAAAAATTACGATCGGGTATTTTTCCGAGTGTTTAAGACGTTTCAACGTACGGTTAATATTTAGATAGCTGACGCGTAAAAATTTTCGGCCAACTGTAAAACGTCAATGTGTACGACGATTATTGCGGTATTACGAAAATAAAAATGGTCAAATGTATAATAATGATTGTCCGTACTAAATTCGGTGTATTATTATTTTTACTCACACTCGCGATATCATTCGGATTCTTTATAGATTACACGGCTGTTGCCCTTGCGCAAATCAACTTCGTTTCGGTTGTTTAAAACACTGCGGCGAACAATACAGACGTGTTATTTTCATATAATTAACGTAAACAAAACCGCATTTTCAGGTGTAGATGTTCCGTGACCGATATTCCAATGTCGGTCCGTCGGCCGTAATAATATCGTGCGAAATAATTAATCGAATTTCGGTTATGACGATGAAAATGTTGTGCGATGATATGATGATGAAACGCGATCGTTTTGAAATAATAACGATAACCGATGAGAAGGTCGTATTTGGCTGCGGCGTCCAGCGATTATTATATCGCCCGCAGTCGTAATATGTGTAATATTATATTTGTGGCTTGCGGACTTTGGCTTTGACCTTTTTAAGAAACAACGCTTTATACTCGGTCTATCTCAAACTGTAGAAACTAAAACTGTTAATGAATAAGAATTAGGCGTCAAATTTCCAAAAATCTAACGTAAAATCCATAATAATTTTTGTAATAATAAATTTGTTTTCAATTAATAAAAAAGAACCGATGACATTGGCCGTGCTTGTGGCAAGATCATTGACGTAAATTGTGGGGGAGGGGCGTTAGGGGTCAAGTCCTGCTCGAAACGTACAAACAAAAAATTAGCCCCCCTCAAATTAGTAATCAATAATTAGTAATTTGAAGGGGAATTATTTCTTTGTTTATACGTTTTCAGTTGGCTTAGTCTCCTCAATCTCCCTCCCCCCCCCGTAAAATTTCCGCCTATGGATTAGCCACATTTATTATATTATTTATTCATTTATTTATCTATTTCTTCCGGTATTCAATCCTACAGTTGGTTTCGCAATTTCACATATTATTGTTCTCTCCGCTTTGTTCCATCACCAAAGCCCCGCGAATCAGTCCGGGGGTGTTTGCAAATTCAAATAAATGTCAAACAATTAACAAAGATCGGCCGGTTCGCAGAAGATTCGAATGGAAATTATCGTTCACACGTTTTACACACGTCCCCGGTACGGTCGGAAATCGGATGGCTCACGAAGTGAACGGGTTATTTTTTCATTTTTAAATTTCACATCATACGCCTATTATTACGCGAACGCGAACGGCGATCATAACATTCGGTGCGGCACGTCCGCGACGATAGCGAATCCGACGGGCGAGGGATATAGGGGGAAATTAAAAAAAAAAAAAAAAAACCAATCCGTCCAATAGGCAATAACGTTATTACTACCGCCGTATCGTAATTGTTGTTGCAGACGGGCGGATAAAAAACCGGGCACATCGTATTATCGACAACTCCGGGCCTCTCGCGGACGTTATTGTTTCGAAACGTTATAGGCGGGCAGGCGGGTACGTAGGTAGGCAGGTGTGTACAGGTATACACGCCGATTAAAACGCAAACGTACCGCACACGATGTATACAATAATAAGCAGACTATAATAATAATATCATATTGTTGAAAATCGTCGGGAACGGGTTTATCGGCGTATCTGTGTCTCGGACGATGTGCCCGTTCGTGTGTTTATTGTGTAACGTTTGCATCACTGTGAAACCGATACAGATACAATTATGTTATTGCCCGTACCCGCAATGCCGAAAACAGACGATAACCCGAGCCCGTGTGCGTCTTAAACGCAGCGGACGGTCGAACAATAAACCCAATACGAAATCGCATTCGATCTCGGCGGCCGGCACCCGTATCGAACGCGGGCAATTTTAACGGTTAAGTACCCGATCCCGCATACGTACATATATGTATACATGTAACCGGTAGATAACTGACACTTGATACCGTCATCGCATTGTGATAATGATATCCGGATAGATTCTGGCCGCACTATTTCGGGCGAACACGAAACGCTCGACGACAATTGCTGCTGCATTACTTACCCTAAAAACGGCCGCGTCCCGCCGAACCCACTCGCCTCAGCCCGGATGTCGAATCCGCAACGACAGACAGAGAAGACTGTATTGCGAAAAATCAGTTGCCAGTTGTTTTTTCCTTACATCCACGCCGATGCGCCGAGCGAGTTTTCGTTCATCTGTGATGAGTACACCGGAGCATTCAATTATGTAGGTGGTCCGTATGAGCTATCGACTGCGGGTCAAGTTGTGCCCGATTATAATTTTGCTCGAGCGCAATAATTTTCATAATCGGATTAACAAGAAAACTCCAGCCTTCTCGAGTGGGTACTTAGATAATTACAAAAGGCGTAAAAAAGAAAAAAAAAACAAGCGAGTAAGTAAGCGGCTTCTCCGTTGTTTACATTTGATACAGCGGAGTTGAGTACGTAGGTAAGTTATTTGAGGCATTTTTTTTCCAGCGCATTTCCCGCCAAACGATAATCAATAAAATAACAACAGTATGACAAATAACATAGATACGGTGAATATGTATAACGGAGTTGTTCCCACTCAGAGTAGTGAGCATAGGAATTCAAGTCGAAATGCGTTCATTGTTATATTTTATTCCACGGAAATGAATATGTTTGTACGGAATAGAAAACCACGCAGCTTCTAATACTTACGTTCGAGAACGCTGATAACGGCTGACGGCCCATCATCATTTTTACTGTGTATCCGCGGTAATTACTTACTTATTACAAACGGACGCAATTAAATCCGTATCTTTTTAGCGTGTAGCGTATTAATAAAATACTACTCGTCTAAGTAGTAAGAGTATTCGGAAGGAATCCGTAGCAATTTATTATCGTGTAAAAACCTACCTGGCGAAACAGACAGCAGCGCGGAAGACACGGCAGTCGGTCTACACTCGTCTCGGTGGCGCAGCGAAACCAGTTTTTCACGCACAGCGTGTTCCGGAGACTTGGACGGCACAATCGCGATCGGTGGACCATCAAAAGTCGTGACAATCACAATGACCAAAACGCATCGCATAATATTCCGGGTAGGATTGGACGGAAAACTGTAGAATCGCGCCGAATCCCCGGGCTCGAGTTTTCGACGCGCAACCATCGGGACATGTTACCGCGAGACCGGACGTTCGTTAAAACGATAAATGTATCGGATTTTTCGGTTATCCTTTAAGCGCTCAAAATACGCGAATCGCCATTTCCGTGGAAGAACTTCGCGATTCGCCCCCTTCGGCCACGACGCGTCCCCTGCACACGCGTATGCAGCGTTTATTCGTAAGCGTGATACGTAAACCGGGGTGACCCGCGCTATTTTATGGTAATATACACATCGAACTGATTATGCATTTACGCCTGTTGTATCGTACAATTCGTTAAAAACACGAACATCTATGAATATTATTTCGTGACCGGACACACTGAGAATCGTGCATGGATACGTTATGTGCCGATGCAAATTTTTATCGTCGAATTCAAATTGAAAACTGAATTACCTTACAAATATATCAGCTGTAACATCATAACTGCCCTGTACTTCATCGAGACACTTAGGAGCCGAGTCCGCGGTAGTGCAATTTTTATTTTTTTTGGTTTTTTTTTTTTTTTCATAATAACGTCGACTAGTGGAATAATTTAGTGCTGATTTACAGCACAAACTGGCACCTAATAAGGTTTAATTAATGATTAGTAGCCATTATTAAGGATGCCGGAATGTCGGATACGCTCTCAAAACCTATGTTTGATCGAAAGTATTCGGAGTAAAAAGTACAATCACGGCAAATCTTCGGGATGGTCAGGATAGCCGATTGATAGGAAAGACTGGATATTTGTTCAATCATATTTATTGTTTTTGGGTGGTCCCGGGAACAAGGAGAACAATTTGACTAATAATTTCATTTGCCATAGTTATTATCAATTTATATTCCGCTTAAAATCGTTTTTCGTTAGCAAAGATTTACACGTTCCGCATAAATTAAATCACTCTTCCCTTCCTACTTATTTTCTCCTAAAACACATCTAGGAAAAACATCTAATATCTTTGGAAATGGTGAAAGGGCTTACTAACTGCAACTTACATCGATACACCGGTTGAGTTCGATTTCGGCTCACGGTTTTCAATTAAAAATATCGGTTATCCGATTTACATCGGAGGGAATATCGGATATCTGAAAAAAGTCGTATACCGTCGGCTCACTAATAATCGGCACTAATAACAATTATAATAATAATATTACGTGTACGGTCGTTCACGTGTTTTATTTCGCGAACGTGTAACTCGATACTATTTTTAATATTGCATAGAAATATCCTATGAAAAGTGACGGTAAAGTTTTATTTTTATTTTTTCCAAATGAAATTTCTTGCATATACGAGTACACGCCGTGTATACGTATACTGCAGCGGACAGGACTTATTTGAAATAAAGAAGACAACCTGTTTTGTTGTTTTTTTTTTTTTTTTGTCACAATCTGACATTGTATCGAATCATGTGAAAACGACCGCGACTGGTATATAATATATTATTCTAGGTATGGGTAGGCAGTAGAAAAAACATCGTATTACGTCCATTCATTGAACTAGAAACACTGTGTATAAAAAAAAAAAAAATAATGATAATAAAAAAAATTAATTAACCATAATCAGAAGTAACATCGTTCGCGTGTTGTACGTATATCGAATGGAACGGACAGAAAAAAAAAAAAAAATTAAAAAACAACAAAACCAATCAAATCATTATCGTATTCAACATAAACCATATATATGTAATAATATATTTGTATATTTTCCAACGGTTTTCAATATATATATGTATACATATATATGTATAAAATAATAAAGTTATATTTATCATAATATAATATGTGTGTATAGCTAAAAATATAGTAAAAATTTAAACGTAACACTTATAAATGAAAAATAAAATATCAAATATTTGAGTATAATAATATAATCGTCCGTTATTATCTCGCGCAAATATAACAAAACTTAAACGTAATAAAATAATCATAAAATATTATGTAATAATAATAAAAAAAAAAAAAAAAATAAAATATATATGTATATATATATATATATAATAGACAACAGTAATACGAAGGCGTACACGAAATAATGTTACTTATTTATTATTCGATTGGTAACTTATACACGTGAGATTCTGTAAAAAAAAATCTCGATAAAAAAAATAAAACACGTAAATATTTATATGCAACCCATAAAACGTAATATAATACGGTTTAATTAAATAAAATAACGTAATTGTATTATAATGTATTAAGAACGAAAAAAAAAATTATTAAAATAATATAAAATAATCAAAAAAAAAAAACATAATAGTAAACAATAATAAAATAAAGCGTATAACAAAAAAAAAAAAAAACCGATCGTATTACATATTATTTATTTTTCGTATTTTCCTAATGTTCGTTAAATTATAAGTTTCTCTATTTATTTTTTTTTTTCCAATATTTTTTACACAGATTTCCTCTTTTTAACTATACATTATTATTATTATAATATTACTGTCTTTTTGACTAGCTTATATAGTGATACTATTACTGATGATATTTGTCTATGTCTAACGGACGAACACAATAGTAATTATTCTATATTTTTATTTCATTTTTTTTTTTATTTTTATTTTTTTTTTTCATTTACGTCAAAACGAACAAATATTTGTACCTATATTATATTATAACTATTTACACCGCGTGGGATTGACAAAAACGATAAATCGAGGAAAGTATTTATTATTATTGTTATTTCGAATTTTTTACATTTTTACATTTTTACACCGGATAATATTTCGAAAAACACTTCCCCCAAAAAATTAAAAAAAAAAAAGAAAAGAAAAACAAGCGAGAAAACGCAAAGGAGACGCGTAAATACAACGCGCTATACATTGTAATAATAATATTCTATCCTATGTACACAAAAAAACACAATTTTTTTTTTTCATTTTTAATTCGTTCGCGGTTTTTTAATTTTTTATACACGCGATAAGCCCGCAGATCGTTGGTAACACGCATTAAAAAATATTTATATACATATGGTATGCACATATTGTATATATAATTATATTAATAATAACGATGGAAAAAAACCGCATATATACCACAGCTATACATATTATTTTATAGCTACACGTAATAATAGTAATAATAAATGATAACGATAATACAAATAATAATGATAACGATAATCGATAATAAGTTTTTTTTTTATTTATTTATAGGTTTTTTTTTTTATTATTTTTGCGCGCGGTAGTTGCTGAGGGTATGCGAAGCCCGCGGGGAACCGGTTACCGAGAAAACCGTATATTATCGAACTAGAGAAGTTGAAAAATACACACACACACGCACGCAGCGCTTGATACGAGTATGCGTGTGCGTGCGCGTATATACGTATAATAGTGTAGGTATATAATACGAGCGAAGAAAAAGAAAGAAAGAAAAAAAAAAAAACGTAAAAAACAAACCGTATATATAACGATTTCATCGACCGGTTCTCGAGCCCCGTATGTATCGGCTGTGAATCTAGAGCATCCTGCTCTCGGACGCGTTTTAAATATTATATGGTAATGCGAAATGTGCGCGGCGGCGGCGGCGGCGCTCTATTGGCCGTTAGAGAAACCGTTTTCTAATATTATAAATAGATATAATATACACATAATATGTAATATAGCGGACTGAGCCTCGAGCGAAAATTAGTCGGACAATATCTGATGGGCGAAAATGGGCAGTTGCCCGGGAAGAAAAAAAAAATAATAAGTTTTGGTTTTTTTTTTTTTTTTTTCCATGAACGCATTGATTCGTATCATAAAGTATAATACCATACGCGCAGATAACACGACTCGATATACAGGGTAATAATGTATAAGTTATTTACACGATTATTGTTTATGATAAATCGCGACGGTTAACGCGAATCAGCGGTGATAAATTCACAACGATTTTCATGGAAAAAACACGAAACGTGTCATTTTTTCTTTCTTCCCGGATACAAGTTTTCGCTTATCGGACTTCGTCTGATATTCGAGCAATACGGAGGACGTATACACGGGGCGTAGTCCACCGTAGTTAATATAATATTAACTATCTGTAAACGGATGAAACAAAAAACAAATACAACAGAGTGATTCGTTTTTATCACGATCCATATGTTAATTAACGAGAATGTTGAGTAACTTCGATTTTATAGGTTTTCAGCCTTTTATGGAATCGTTCAAGAATATTTTTTTAATACGATATTAAACACGATTTTAAAATGAAGCTAAATTGATTTCATAGTGATTGGGGGAAAAAAAATATAAATCAGAATTACTCTGAGAAATTCGGCGGATCGTGATAAAATGGTCAATCTGTGTACAAAATAGGTACTACTCACAGTGGCGTCATTTTTTCGGGGGAGAAGTGTGCAAAAGAATAACGACTTTGGCATTTTCTCCCGGAGCTTAACGTTAAGCGTTCTCTTAAGTCAGTGCTTTCATTGATTCCGATTGGCGTTAGAGCCTGGAAAAAAATTGTAACAAAATACCAAACCAATGTTTCATAATAATATGCCTTTCGTTTGCACGCTTTCACGAATAATACCGGGTAGTCAAATTTTTGATTTTTCAACGATCTTCTGACGGATTTTGAAATTATGAACAAAAATAATGAATACATATTGACGTCAAGAAACTGCGAACTTACTACTTTTTAAGTATGACGTGGTAAATACCTTTTTTTCTCGTTTGTCGACAAGTTTTGTAAGTTTACCCAGTCAACTAATACGTTTAAATAACGCCACTGGCCACAGAATGAATGTAAAAAAAGCGAAAATTGGGATTGTTGAGTGAAAGTCATGAATTCGAAATGTTGAGCGCGCTATCAAATTATTCAATTTTCGAAAACTTCTCGGTATCGGCTGTTCGGTTCCACTTGTCTTAATAATTTGATGCGTTAACAAAATAATCAAATTGCAGTCGTTTCAAAAAAATATAACGTTTTCGATAGTTTGAAAGCTAAACTCGCGGCGAGTAATAATAACATCGACGGAAAAATAAAACGAACTAAACTTTTAAAATATATAATATAATTCGTTCGGGCTTAACAACAATTGGAAAGAAAAAAACAATACTAGTTGAGGGGTGGACGAATAATTAGGAGCGAAAATCCGTTTCATCGAAATCGGCGATTCTTAAAACACTATATATGTACACGCAATCGTCTGATCAGATTGGTAAAAACAAAAAGTAAAATAAACTATTAAAAAAAAAAAAAAAACATCTAAATTCTATACAAACAAATTATATTATATTATTCGTATTACCTCGTGAAAATGTACAACAACAAAAGAAAAGGGAGGGGGGAGGGTCCGCGACACAGTACGAGTACGATACGATAATACTACGAAGTACGCTCCGGGCCCTTGGAGATCGCATCCGGCTCGTCGGCCTTTAATGTATAATAAAACAGTATACACCCATCGACTCCGAATCCAAAAGCTTGCCCGTGTCGGAGAAGACTTACCCGCGGTGGCGGTGACGACCCTTCGCTCCGGCGGTGCCGCTGCTGCTGGTGCTGCAGGCGGCAGAGGGTCAAGTGTTGTTGGAGCCCTCCTTGTCGGCCGCCGCGGCCGATGCTGAGGCGTCGGCGGCCGCCGACGAAGATTCCGTCGAGCCGGCCGAAGAGGCGGACGACCGGGACGAGTACCGTTCGGCAGCCGCGTCGCCGGACGAGCCGCGCCGGTTGTACGGGCACGCGGCGCCGGACGTCGCACCCGACTGTCGCCGGCCGCTTTGGTACACGGACGGCTGATGGTGACCGCGGCCGCCGCGGTGGTTGCCCACGGCCGCCGCCGCCGCCGCAGCAGCCGCGGCCGCGGCCGCGACGGCGAACCTGCTGCCGTCCTCGCTGACCTTTCCCATGAACGACCGAATCTCCTCGAAATAGGAATCTTCGCCGCCCTGGCCGCCGCCGCCGCGTCCCGGCCGCCGGTGTTCGGCCGCCGCGGCCGCGGCCGCCGCAGCCGCAGCCGCAGCCGCGGACGATGACGACGACAGACGGTCGTCCATAATGGTCGGCCCGTCGGCCTCGTGTTTCTTCAGGTGCCTGTCCAGATTGGTCTGCTGTCCGAAACAGCGTTCGCACAGCGGACACTTGAACGGTTTTTCCTTGTTGTGGATGTTGCGCACGTGCCGCTGCAGGTTTGAAGATATGCTGAACGACCGTTCGCAATAGTTGCACTTGTACGGCTGTTCGCCCGTGTGCGTTCGCAGGTGCCTGGTCAGGTTGGCGCTGCGCGGGAACACTTTCTGACAGAACTTGCACGAGTATCTGGAAATTCGGACAGAGAACAGCCTGTTGTTATAACGACTCGGCACGGGCGGGTTATGCGTAATCTTTGGTTTCCCGCGGTCTTTAAACCGACACAAAAAAACACGATGCCCATAATTCTTCCTTCTCGTCCGCCACATCTCCCATTTTCGATCACCGTTTTTTTTTTTTTTTTTTTTTTTTTTTATTTAACCTGCACGATTAACACAATTGTCCTCCTTATAACGTCTGTACGCGTTGTCTTTTCTTCAGTCCGCCTCTTCCTAACATTCCATCCGCATCCATCTCGGTTTTCCCCGCTACTTACGTTTTTAATTTATCTCTGCGCTCAGAGATCCATACCGCAGTTCAAAAAAATAAACCGCACGTATAAAACGGTATAAAGTTTCGGCCGCATTCCCGTTCACGAGGTGCTGCCGGCGGAGTTTTGCGAACAATTTTTTTTTTTTTTTTACGATCGCGTGTAATATTTATTCGCGTTTCAATTTTCCCGTTCCTCTCGCACGCACGACTGCGTTTTCAACGTACCGTCCTTTGGCTATATTCTCTGTATCTAAACGCCCGTTTCCCTGGCACCGATCCAAACGGGTTCTCCTCTACTAAACTGCACACCTCGACTTTTCACTTTTCCGTCTACACGCATCAATAGCAAGTCACCGCCTGCTACGACGGCAGCGCACGCATTGTATACGAAATATTTTTTCTTTATCATACAATACTAATACTACATGAATTAATTTTTTAAAATATATTTACCTGTCTTTCGGTTTGCCGGTCGTCTCCTGGAACGCGGAAGACTTTTGTTGCGGAGACCTGGCTACGGGCGGCGGTGGGGGTGGCCTGACCACGTCGTACGTGGGTGGCGGCACGTGATGGTGCCCGTTGAGTAGCGGCGAGTTAATGAACGGATAATGTTGGGACGGCCGATGGTAACCGCTTCCAGTACCGGTCGGGTAACCGCCCAGCGAAGTGGGTAACCGTGATTTATCACCGCCACCATTGACACCACCTCCAGCGCCTGCACTGGCACTCGCTCGGTACATGGCTTCCAGCATCATGGGATGCAACTGTTGCGGCGGAAACAGCACCGGGTAGTTGGCCATCCGGTGATGGTGGTGCCGTTCGTCGTCGACGGTAATGCTAGTGGCCCGTCGGTGGTGATGATGGTGCTGTTGCTGATGGTGATGTTGGTGTTGTTGCTCTTGGTCGTCGGTGACGTTCACGTCCTTGTCGGACGAACAGGGACTGTGCACGACGATATTGCGATTGTGGTTGTGGTGAGAGGGCAACTGGTACGGCTGCGTGGACGGTGGTCCCGGGCTGTCGACCTCGATGTCCTCCGGTGACGGCGTCCTGATTATGAGATTCTGGTTTTCGTCCTCCAGCTCGTCGCCACGGCGCGACTTTTTGTGGTCCACCCGGAGATCGAGTGGCTGATCGTTGTTGACACCGGCGCCGGAACCGTCGTACGGTTTGAACGCGGCCGGCGACATACGTTGCGATCGGTGCGGCGATCGCGGCGAAGAAGACGGCGTGCTGCCTCCGTTTCGGGACAGGTCGAACGGCATCATGTTGTCGTCGGCCGAATCGTCGCGATCTTGGTGGTGGTGCTGTTCCCGGTGATGATGATGGCCGTCATCGCGGTGGTTGTTGTCGGTAACGTTGTTGTTATTGTTATTGTTATTGTAGAGATGGTGATGGTGGTGACGGTGATGGTTCGTCGGGTACACAGAACCCTGTTTGGGTGATACGCACGGCACCACCGCTGGCATGGCGGTGACCATTTTTCGCGGGCTAGAGTGCTTTTCGCGCATGCTGGAAGGGTCGCGCGGATGCGCCGCTCCGGCCACGGGTCGTGGGTAGTAGGTGTACCACGCCGGAGGAGACGTATCCACCACGCTCATCACTTTGGCCACGCCGTCTGCGAAAACAAAAAAAAAATTGACATTATCAATACGCGATCGCAGTGTAAATTTACAAAAAAAAATAAAACACCAAAAGAACCCCGATAAAGTCGACTCAAAACCGTTTCGAACCCGTTCTATAATTTGCAATGTCTTTGTACGAATATTGTTCCGTCCGTTACAAACTCGTACGCATACAATAAGTGGTCCAGGAAACCACACGAGCTACGGTATAGACTATCGGTATGTCCGTAGGACTATCGGTGTTCCATTACGCTCTACAGTAAACGGTGCATCTCGCCTATAATGGATCAATATATATTCGACGGATTTTCGACGACGTTTGAAAATTGATTTTTGACGCATTTATAGCGGTGTTGCGGATGAAAAAAATTTAATTTTTTTTTTTTTGCTACACGTATATAGGATGTAACGTATACGTTCGTCACAAAGTCTGTGTCATAAATGCGGCGGCGTGCCCGCGTGACAATCGAAAATTAATATCGGTTTTGTCTTGTCTGTGCGCGCGTATTTTCGTTGAGCGTGGCGGGAGGGTGTGTGGGGGGGAAGAGGGTTACAAGCGAAGAGGTTAATAAATTCTCCGCGCACGACGTGACGCAATGTCGACTAGTATAAAGTAAGTATAATAATTGCCGTCTGCTTTTCTTCTATACTGCTGCGGCAGCGGGTCCGCAGACGACGACGACGGCGGCGGCGGCGGCGGGATTGTCGTCGTTTTAACGAAGAGCGGCGCAAAAATTCGGTCCGTTTGCAGGCAGTGTAAACCCGGTAGCCCGTCGGAGAATTATCACATGTCGTGTTCGAAAGTATTATATTATATGGTTACCCGGTGTGTGCGTATATACATGTATACGCTCCGTGATATTATTAAATTCGCCCGGTTTGACGCGAAGATGAAGGTAGAAAAAAAAAAAAAAACTCGTCGCTCCGATTTATACTGTGCACGAAAACTCTTCGTATTGTATACCTATATATAATATCGTAGCGGTGTATACGAGAAACTTCCAATTATATAATGGTATTTTTTAGGTTTTATTATTATTATTATTTTTTTTTTTTTTCGGATTTCGTTCGCCGTCCCGCCCGCCCGTCTGAATGCGGATCACAATAATTTTAGTTTAGTTATTTTCATTTCATTTCATTTTTTTTTTTTTTTTTTTTTTTGTGTCGTTCATTTCGCCGCACTACTGTCGGACTTTTCGCTAACGAGCGCCCCGCGACGAAACCCGTTTATCGTATTTCCAAATCTGTTTTGGAAAAAAAAAAAAAAAAAAACCCACCAAATAATATAACAAAAACCCAAGTACCCATTCACGTAACCAGTATATATATATAGGTATATTATGTACGCGTTTTTCGGCTAATCCGGACGAAAACTAGACTGTCGTGTTCGCATACACATACAAATAAGAATACATATATGCACTTGTTGTCGCATACGAAAATCCTCCTCCCCGGCACATCGGACAAGACGACATTTTACAAGTCGTTCCGTTCTCGTTAAATCCGTCGCCGTTATAATAATATACGTTTAAAAACAGACGATATCGGCACTTTTTTTTTTTTTTGCGTACCCAGCGTTCAAGTCTCCGCAGACGATAGGTGTACGTATGAAAAAAAAAAACAAAACAAAATTACGATTTCTCTCCGCCGGCCGGGCCGATATTTTAAAGTGAACGTCGCCGCTTCGCCGGCTTTCTTAAAACCAAAAGCTCTAATATATAAGATGCCCGAAAGAACCGATCTAAAAGTTTTTAATACCTCCAAATATGTATCGCGCCCCAGGAATGATGTACTGACACAGCGTAAAAAATAACGATTTTCGAATTGATACAATCGGAACATGCAGTATTTCATCCTTTATAATTAGGTGGACTTGAATTGTTTCGTTTATTTAATATTTAAGACAGTATTATATGAACTCCGACGTCCTTATTTGTCTGCATTATACGAATTATATACATATAGTTTCCATCCTAAACATTGACATTTCTGGGTTTGACAACTCATCGCTATTGTTACCAGCCGACTATAATTTCGTTATATACAATATTTTTTTGGCCAGAATTAATTCGCGTCTCTGCGAAAGTACAACCGTTTTTACACGGGGGAAATCACCGAACAAGAATAATTACGGAACAGAGACGAAAGTCGATCCACCAACATTTGCACATTTCGATATTCTTTCGAGGGTGCGATACATATATATTCATATGTATATGTGTTTTTACTTTGTTGTTCATACGCTAAACTTTACAATCCGCGCCGCGGGTGTCCCGACGCACGGGGAAAAAAATCTCCGTAAAAATCGGTGCGCCGTCGTCGCGTACGGAACGCGAAGATCATCGCGAGACTGTTAGCGGAGTCGTGCGTGCAGCTACGCGCGTATTCCGTTTTGGACGTCACGAGACGAGAGCGTGTCCCCGCCGCGTATGACGCGAGATTAAAACGTATTTATCGGTCGTGTGTTCGCTAATTTATCATCGTTTACCACGGCGATCCCGGTGCCGGTATTATTATTATTATTGCCGTCCGATAATAATATTATTATTATGTACCTATGCATACACGTATTGAACATACCGGCCAGAATACATTGTATCGCAATAAATATTATAATAAGGCCGTCGCGTAGTCGTAATAGCAGTCGTCGGGCGCACTATTCGCATGCACGCGCCGCGGAGAAGGTTTTTTTTTTAATTTTTTTTCCGCCTCGCACGGTCCTTTTTCGGCGCGACACCGCAATAAGCGCCTGACGCGCGTACGTATATATATATACGTGTACGTGTACACACATCACCAGCTCTAAAAAGATAACTACAGCGGAAGACCGCGGGAAAAATGCCAAACGGCCCATACGGCGAGGTGATTAGCCGCGGGCGGCCGCAGTTCCGCGCTCGAGTACGATTTTCCCCCGGCCGACACGTCGCCGACGGACACAATACCTGCAGCGTTCACGATTTTCGGGAAGGTTTCGTCGAGAAAACCGCGACCAACACGGAACCCGGTGTTGTGCACCCGGCAGAAAGTGTGCCGTGTACGTACGTCTCTCGGCATGCGATACCGTTCCTTCGAGCTCGCATCGAAACGAATACTATGCGGCCCCTCCTCCTCGCTCCGAACGTATTTAATCGAAAACGGTAGGAAATAATAATCGATCGTAATTTCCTAAACGAACGTGTACGCACGAAATTTTAACGAGTCAATCCTCCGGCGAGTGTGTGTATGCGGTATACCGCACCGACATTGTGACGCGTCGACGATTTTTCACATCATCACTTTGTCGCTTAAAAAATAATAAAACGCATTCCGGTCCGGAGTTTATTATTATTATTATTTTTTTTTTTTTACGGCCGTCGTCGTCTTCGCGCACGACGTCGTTTATATACGAGTGCGGAACGGCGTAATAAAAATGATAGAGAGAAAAAAAAGCAAAGCCCGATCGTTTCGAATGCACCCGGTAATATTTTTACATCGCGGAGACTCCTTCATCGGCATCGTCTATGTACCGTAATGATAATATTATGAAATATCGCCGTCGTCCGAGGCGATTATATCGCTCGCGCGCGTATTATCGCACGGCGAGCGCGTAATATTTCCCAGGCTTATTAAATTGTCAATTGGACGGCGGAAAAAAAAAATTAAAAAAAAAAAAAAAAAAAAGAAAAAGAAAAAAACCGTATCCCGTCGCGGTTTTTACGACCCGAAGATTTATGGCGAATACGCGCGCGCGTAATAACGACGACACGATCCGAGTGAGTTATTGTTTTTCGCGCGCGCGCGCGCCGCTCGGTCGACGAAAAATATTTTTCGTTTCCTGATCGACGGCAGTGCCACGATGATAATAACGATAATGTAAATTCGAAAATACCTCGTAGATTCGGTTTTTTTTTTTCATTTTTTTTTTCGCGCAGCGTGCTCCGCGAAACGTAATCGAAAACTGTTTACCGTCGTGTACGGATACGGCCGATACATTATGCGTGCACGCGCGCGACTCACGACCCACGATTATTTACTACCGAATAATCGGTAGGTATGCATGCACACACGCGCACGCACGCACGCACACACACACGCACATTACAATTCGGAACGGTACCGTGCGTGCGTTTCTACACGCGTACGCTATGCCGGGGCGGGAACGGGGCCGAAAATAAACGGAATTAACAACCGGAATACAATAACGCCGTGTGCCGTTACGCGTATACAGGTGCGCGCGTGTTTCTCGCCGCGTCCAGCGTGGGTGGAACGAGTGTAACGCGCGAACGAGACGGGTCGGCGCGTCGATTCCGGCCGAGGAACGGCGGAGGGGGTGGGGGGAAATGGAGAGGAAAGCGCGAAAATGTAGCCGCGGACGTATTGTTTCGCGCCGCGCGGTTAGGCCGCCCGCGAGCCGTTCGGAGGCGCCGTTTTGTCGCGTGAACGTATCGGATCGTACGGCGGCGAACACGTCCCTTCGCCGATCGCCCCTGCGGGTCGTCCCCCCCTTATCGACCTGTCGTCGAGCAGCACCGGATCCAGGGGAGGCGGTACGTTTCCGGTCGACAAGGTCTTTTAGTCCACTATCTTTAGCGCTGTATTTGCATTTACCTCCCCCCCCCTCCCCCTCGAAACTGATTTCTGGATCCGCTCCTGTTGGGCGGCACGTCGTCGCGTTATACCTGCCGTTGTCCGCGGATATCAGGATTACACGCGGTTACCACTGAAAATCCGGTTTTACACGAATACGGCGCACTCGTCTTTGGCGCGGTCCCGAGTGTCGAAATCCTGAAATTCTAAAGGTCTGGACTATCAAGTGTGTGTACAATACTTATTTACTTCGCGCTTACCGCGTAAAGTTCCCGAGCCTCCCGAGGAAGGGAGCCGCCATTACGCGTAGGATAATGTAGGGTGATTTAGTTTATATCATACACTTCGGTACCGCGCTATAGCGACGATAAATCGATTTGCGATCGAAAAACGCGGTTGAACAGAAACCATTAAACCGGTTTAAGGCGCGTAATAAATCGCGAAGCACTTATACCCGTAATTTGTTATCGGTATTTTAGTTAATTTTTTTTTTTTTCAATCTTCAAATATAATAAATACATTTTTATAAAAAAAAAAAAATCCGATCTTTTTTACGATAATCGACTAAGTGTTATTTTCGAGGAAAAAAAACTTAACGAGCGCCGTTATTTTATTGTCATTATTTTGACGTCGGTCGGTCCTACGCGCGTGGTTTTTTTTTTTTAACGAGCGGTCATTTTTTACGGAAAAAACTCGCGCGTCCGTGTGAAGAAGAGCCGATAATATCCGAAATCGCCTAGCCGTGTGGTAATGACGGAAAAAAAAAAAATCGATAACGATAAATAAAAGATTTCTCGGGCCCGCTCGTATCGGTCGGTATGAACCGTCGAGAGTGCGCGATTTCTTCCGAGAGCCTCGTCGTCGTGGTCGGTCGTCGCAATCAATCACCGCGACAAAATCCGCAGGATCGTATTGGAGGACCCCGGCGATTGATGGCGATTTGTCGTGTGTACACACGACCGTATAACGAGTAGGCCCGTCGCCGTCGCCGTTTTATAATAATAATAATAAATACAGGACGGAAAAATACGTGAAAAATCGCCTTCGATTTCCATTGTCGTCGTCGTCGGACAATAAATTATCATTATTATTGTTGTCGTCGTCGCGTCCGGACTCGCGCACGTGCTCTGCGTCCGTAATTTCCCATTATATTACAATAATTTTACACCGGCGGTGCAATACACGGCCGTCTCGATATTACGTTATGCACTCGCGATGGTCGACGCACGGACGCTGGTGTGCTACGGATGCTGCAGAGTCATCCGATATTATATCCTATTATACTTATACGCCTACGTCGTCGTCGTAAATTCACAGACGGTTTTTTTTACTACGGGTATCGGCCTATAGCTACAGCGTACAGTGTGCATTGGCAACGGTCCCGTCCAAAGTGGCTGCGAATCGTTTTTCCGTTATTGTTCAAAACCTATTGGTTTTGTTTTGATAATTTTCGCGTTCCGTGTGCCACACGGAGGAGTTGTCTGTTTTAAAAAGACGCGCGTTTCGTGTTATTCGGAAAACGCTTTTACGGCCAGTGAAAAATATCGCATTTTGTAGACGGAGTAGACGGGTAACGGGGGATTTCGGGATCGACGTCGCGGACACGCGGACGTCGCGATCCGCGTGAAAAACACGGCTGCGCGCGTCGCCGTTTCGCGATATTACCGTCCGAAAGAACACTTTTCGCGGCGATTTATTCGTACGGCTGTACCGGCGATTTTATTGCACGACTGCCGGTGCCGTTTCGGTACAGAGACTTTTCGTACTCGAAATACGTGAACACCGTCCGACGGATAGGTAGGTACTTTTCTCCCGCACACAATAATTGACTTTAAAAAAAGGTTCCATTTTGTCTGCGCGAATGAAAGTGTACACATTTCTTTTCCGCTACGCAGAACATATTCGTTTTGAGTGTTCCGATGACCGATTGAGATATAGAAACTCTGCCGCAGTGAGCCTCAAAGATAAGTATTATTTATTTTTTGTTTCTTTCGGAAGATAGCATCATCAAAGTGTTTTTGCGGTGTCTGCCAACGTTTACCGTCGATTTTTGTTGCGCACGCGAGTCGCGACGAATCAGATAACCGCGATAGCGTTCCGTTTCGGTTTACAGTGCGTGTGCGCTCGTACAAACGGCTCTAAACACGTAATAAACACGGCACGGAGACATTTCGGTTTCTCGCGGTGCAGACGGAAAGCCTATAGAACGCGACAACGGGAAACAATCACATGTTTGTTGCCGTTCCGGAAAACAATGTTATTGTCCGGCAAATTCGAAAATCGACCGCAGCCGTCGTTGGGCATTTTCGATTCGTTAACAAAATACCGTTTCGCGGCGCTCTACGAACGCTCGAAATCGGTTGTTGTTTTCGCGGCGGCCGTACGCGGTGTACGACAAATCACGCATTACCGCCACCGTATGCATAACTTTCTTTTCCGAACCGGGTACAACGGGGCTACCTTTATGTATACATCATGAAATATAAACGCGTGATCGGTAGCCTTATAATAATAATATTGTAATCATTATGCACACCTACGGGTAGCGAATACGATACAGCAGCGGACAATACGGCATTGTGCCGTGGCGGCGGTTCAAAAAAGATTAGAATGGAAAGTGAAAACGACGACAATGATATTATATTCACGTTATTCCGCGGACAATGATCGCGAAATATTTTGCGTAAAAATGGCGTACGGTTTTTCGACGACCGTCGTAAAGTCCTATAACAGAAAATCCGTATACGGTATACACACGCTGCCGCGGTGTAAACCTTTGGGGTTGGGATTGTTTTCGGGCGACAATCACTATAACTGACTGTTCGCGTCGTCGAGATCGCGAATTTCGCGAACTTTCCTGCAACGATATTTCAATAAATTTGTCACGTTTCCCCGGTCTCGAGTAACTATTTTGTTATTTTCCAAATCGGGTAAAAATTGTCGTGAGACCCCAACGTTTTTACGGAATCGGTCTTTTCTAGACGCGGTCAAGATATTTTCAAAACATTCTGACGATTTCTAGTTTTATTCGAACAATGTTTGGCCACGTTCGGCCAATCGGAAATCCATTAAAATTGTACGCGAAGTTAATCACAAGTTCGAAGAAATCGAAAGTTCGTCGGTTTTCTCGGCCCGCGAACGTAAAACTACGCGTAAAATCGGAAAACGACCGATCCACCGGCCGGACGAAATTCGCTTTTACGAAAAAAAAAAAAAAAAAATACTGTACATGTAGACACGGCCGGAACAAGAATATTATACATTTTTATTATTTTTTTTCCACGGATTTCGCGCGCCGGTCCGGCGGCTCGCGCTCCTCACAGTCGTGTTATTATTATCATCACAAGTCGCCGCCGCCGACTTGTCCGCGGGCCGATCGCTATTTTTATTTATACTTTTTTTTTTTTTTTTCCATCTCGGAAACGCGCAATACAATAATATTATTATAATGAAAAATCGTAAATCATCTCGCGCGGACCGCTGTAGTCGTCGCTCGCGACCGCCGATTCAACGTACGAGTACGAGCGCAACACGCGCGATACGGCGAATACATAGGCGAACAAACGTTTTTTTTTTTTCTTTTTTTTTTTTTTTTTGCCTTCGGGGGTCCGAAAATCCGGATTCTCCCGAAACCGAAACGCTGTGCGCGATACCGCCGTACCTACCTCACATATTATAACAGATACGCCTTCTGAAATATTATTAAACTATAACGCGTACCCGTACTGCGTATAGTTGTGCGCCGTTCCATATATTCCTGCGTTTTAATTTGGATACACGACTGTCCGTGAGTCCTGCCGGAGCGCGTGATAATAAGTGGCGATAATATTTATTATTATTATTCATAAAGAGTAGGAAAAAAACGATAAATTTTAACCGCGGCCCGCGCCGCGCGTGTCCGCGGGAATCTGTTCGACACGCCATTTACATATTATTATTATCGCGTATCGTTATAATATTATTATGATTATTATTATTTCTAAATAACAACCGTTTTCGTTTCGGTTTTTTTTTTTTTTTTTTTTTTTGTGTTTTTTTTTTGTTTTCGTGTTATTATTTTATTTTTTTTTCTGCCGTTTCCTTCCACCCGAGCCGACCCATATTAAAAATAAAAAAAAACCACACTTATATGCGCGTAGTTTTTTCGCCCACGATCCTTCGGCCTCCGCGGCCGCCGAGCCCCGCGCGTATCGGCTATTTACGATTTATTACGAGCCGTATATCATATTTTCGGGTTCATATCGGTATACCCGCAGTATCATACGCTCGGCAGAATCCGGTCGCGTCCTCTCGCGATGCGATAAATAATAATAATAATAATAACGTTATGCGCCGTAACTTCACCCACAACCGTCAGGCGGATGGAAGGAGGAATGGTGGGGGGGAGGGAGGGAGAGAAATGCCGGCAGGGCTTCCGATCGAAAAACTACGAATTTTTTCCATTATAAATATTATTACCTGCACACGCATTAATACCGCCGCCGTTTTACCGCCGCCGCCGCCTCGAGTGATACTTCTTTTTTTCCCCCCGTCGCAAACGGCAATAATATTATTTATTTTATATTGGTATCGGGTTTTTTTTTTTTTTTCTAGTTTTCGTTTTTCGACCGGCGCGCCCGCGACAGAAAGAGAAACGCGCGCGGCGTTACAGATATAATGATAATCGACGAATTATAGCGGGTACTGTAATTTTGTTTTTTTTGTTTTTTTGTTAATAGCCTGTGTGTCGCACTATTACAATACGTGTAGGTGCGCGCGTACAGAGACCGAAACCCAATCATTCCGGTCACGCCACCGCCGCGGCGGACACCGGTCGGACCGTACCGCCAAAGTATCGATCGATCGCGCGCCGCGTGTAAATTCCGTCCGTACGGCTGTTACGACGACGCGGCGTTTTCCCGGGCCGTGTCCTGTACCCGCGCGCCTGCAACAGAAGCAGGCGGACGGACGCCGAAACAGCGATTTCCCGTGGACCGGTTGGCTGCGGCGGTGACGGCGACGGGAGTTCGGGACGTCCTGGTCCGCCGGCCCGCCGGACGCTTCGACCGTCGGGAGACGAAGCGCGCGCGCCGATCGAAACTCTGGCTCGCGGAGCCGCCCGCGGTACACGTATCCCGTATCTCCGGTCACAGAGCAGAAGGGCCCGGGTCTGTGTTTTTTTTTTTTTTTTTTTTACGGTTTCGTTTCGTTTTTCAAAAGCTGATTCGTTCCGGTCGAATACTGTGCGAAATCCGCGTTCTTTCCCGGGACCGCGGTCTCTCGCCGGTAGTTACGTATTTACATGTGTGTGTATGTATAAAAAAAAAAAAAAAACGTTTGCGGTCGGATTTTCGTCGCGTTTTCAGCTCGCACGCGCCGCGAGGATTGCGACGACGAGATCTCGCGAACGATCTAATGATAATAATTATCATTGTCGTCGCCGTGCGGTCGGTCGGCGACGGCGTTGTGAATGAACGAGAGAGTCCCGGGACGACCATCAATCTCCGGTGTGTGCGGCCGCTGTCAGCCTCTCGCGGTGATGTATAGACCTACTCCTCTTCTCCGACACCACCCCTTCTCCCTCTCCTCTCTTCTCTCGCCCGAGTCCTTACAAAACCGTATTATATTTTATGCGACGACGACGAAGCAGTTAGCGTTCTCCTCGCATGCGGTGCAGCCGCTGACCTTTTCGCGCAGACACCATCACGAAAAAAAAAATAAAAAATTATATATATATAAACCGAACACAAATTGTGTGCGTGTATTATATATTATATTATACTATAAGGCAACAAATAATAACGCACTCGAACACAACGGAATCTAATGGCCACCGTCGCTGATGTGATGTGCGGTCGGCAATTTAAATTCTATTCGTAGTTCTTAATGATACAGAACGTTCGTTACCGATCGTTTTTTTTTTTTTTTTTTTTATTATTATTCTCATTATTCTTTCGTTTTCTCCTTCGATGCCCGGTGTGCCAGTGATTATTTCAGACGCCCGGCAGTGATATAATTTACTCTCACGATAAAATATTAGGGGGCGGGTTGATAATTAAAACAGTGAAATTTTACCCTATTCCCCCGAAATTTCAATAGTGAATGTTTATCTTCGGCCATTTTTCGCCGGTGAATTTTTACTAGACGGAGGGTCGAATATTCATTAGTGAAATTTGGTCAGGGGTCAATTTTCAAAGTCTACACGACGGTTCGTCTGTAGTTGTTGTGTTGTTGTTCGAAAAATTATAACGACTACAAAAATAATGGATATCGAAAACATTAATTTTGTCGAATTTCGCGTATCGTCGGTCTGGTTTGGCCCGCCTGCGCGCCAAACGCGAAAACCGCACCAGTTCGGTGGCCCTACGTCTCGTACGATTTATCGCGTCTACGCATAATATTGTCATAACACCGGCGAACGTTATTTATATTATTATAGCGTTATAATATTTATAACGTGTGTCTCCTCTCCCGAACGAAATAATATAATATGTGGACTGGATATTATTTTATACATATTTTTTTTTCATTATAATATATTATAGGTTATTTTTTTTTTCCGCCTGTATTAATTATATCGAAGAAAAAACTCGTTAGAAATCCGTTCGAAGAATATGTGTGCTGGACGATGCGTACGAAACGTGCGCCGTATATTATAATAATTTACGAGTTTTTCGTTTTTTACAATCAAGCGCGTGTGTACGATTTTCGAAAATTCACTGCGCTTCGAACGCATATTATGCGCGATTTACGAGCGAATTTTTATCGAAATCCACATTGTCCGACCGAAACGACCGGCCATTTCCGAAGCGACAGCCCATTTTTTCCCCGTATACACGTTTGCGTTACTGGTCCGAACGGTGTTCTCTTCGTTTCCGGACGCGACGACGGATTTTCCACGGCGCGTCGTATACGGTTGCCGTCGTTCCGGCGAAAAGAGCGCGAATAAGGCCTCCGCGGTACTGCGTTCCGAAGATTGGAAAATATCAGAAAGCTGCTGTACGTGAAGGACGTCCGGTGAACGTGAACGCGTCGGCCGAATTCAACGGGGAAAGACGGAGAGGATTGCTAGCGATTGTGAAAGTTCAGGTCCTGTATACACATGGACCGTTAAGCCGAGAATGAAGATGAGCAATGGTCGTTTGTCGATTTCGCAGCCTCCGTAAAACGGTCAACTGCTAAAACGCTAGACTCTAAATAGTTCTCCCTCTCGGTCTCGATGGCGAGTCCGCCCTGCATCTCGAAAACGCGAAGAGTCTTCCACCCGTATATGAATAGGAGGCAAACGGTTTTTTATGTTTTTGTTTTTGTTTTTTTATTATTTAAACGGCGGCGGGGTCACCGTCGCGATATTATACCGCCGCGCGGTAATAAACCTGAACCCGGGGTCTCCTGCATACCGACTACGGTAACATAATAAATCGGTCGCGCACCGCGAGCGGATTGGAAATTTCCGTGGGCCGCCGGGGACGGATTCCACGGTCCGCCGTCGCGTATATTACTCCCGCGACGGTCCGTCCATCGGCAGTAAACGATTTACGCCGATCGGAGTCTATAGTATATTATAATATTATCATATCACTATAATATTATAATAGCCAGTGTATAATAATATACAGTCGGTATTTTTTCCGGACTCGATAATATTACGCATAGGTATGCTTTCGTTTCCATCAACGTAACTGGTGCGGCTTTCCCCCTCCCCCCCATCTCCTACTCGTATTTCCCCAGCCCGTATTATTGTTTTTCGCTATCCGTACGTTTTCCTACTCGCATACATATTTAACGCGCATAAACACGTCGTCGTCGTCGTCGTCGTCGTCGGAAAAATAATAAAAAAAAAGTCCACTACCGCTGTCGTTGTCGTCGTCGTTGCCGTCGCCGCAGCAGAGGCGCTAATGAACGCGAATCCCGACGTAAAAGGAGAAAACGTCCGGAGACCGTATTTTTTATTACGTTTTTTTTTTTTTTTTTGCCCGTTACATATTTTATTATATAGACCTACACGCTGCCGGCGTCCGGTATGCGCGTCGAGTCTTCTTGCGATTTGAATTTTTATGTTCGCGCGCCCATTGAACAAACCCGACCGAATCCCGGACGCGCGTAATTCCCTTCCGCTCCGGCGGGCGCGGTTTCTCCTGTCGCACCGCATATGCTCGTATATAAGTACGACACGGGGGTTGAGTTGAAAAAAAAAAAATAAATGCATATACATGTATATTATTCCGATTATACGTACGCATGTAAGTCCGCGAAACCAGTTCAGTCAACTAGTCTCGGGTGTCGAGTTCTGAAACGACATTTCTTCGGGTCCGTAAAAAACGCTTTGCCCGCGCCGACCGCCACGACGTTTCCGGAGCACGCGAGACGAAATTTCCGACATTTTTTCGTTCCGCGCGCGTCACGGATAAACTTTTCGATGAAAGAGAAAACATGTTAATCGTTGTACATCTACATATAATATTTTTGTTTGATCCGGTGAAGCGGTACACGAATTCGATACCTCTATAAATCCCCCCCCCCAAAAAAAAAAAATCCTTGTTATTCCGCTTGGCGCTTTTCTTAACACGGTCTATCCGCCTGAATCATAGTTCGCTTAAAGGCCTTTTTCCGATATATAGCGTCAATAGTCTGCTCGGCTCATAAGTTAGGTTATCTCTGCAGTTTCAGTCAGTCCCGCTCACGTCATCAGTTTGATTTTAGCGATCTCGCGGTTATATCTGAATCTAATCAATTTTGAAACTGACGTTTGTCAATTGGTAATCTTCTCCGTTCGTTGATTTCGACGACAACGATCGGGCAAACCTCGATTTCTGAGAACCGTCTCTCGAAAAGCCGCTAATTGGCGGTCGTGATAATTTCGCCACGTATACGTAGTATCCGTATTCCGCCTGGCCGTCCGGCCGTTATCCGGCGCGTAAACGCTCGTAACGGCGCGCCCGATGATATTAGTCGCTTCCGATCCTCTTGAACGCCGTATCGCGGTACGATTTATCCTGTAGAAGAGAGAGAGAGAGAGAGAGAAAAAGACCAACCGCCGGCCCGCAGGGTCGCGCGAGCCGTCGAATCGGCATTCCCGGCGTGTTTATTCCCCGGCCGCGTCCGTCGGGGCGTTCGCGCGCGCCGTATATTAGACACGCGTTACACGCACGTATATTACGACGTTATTACCGCGCGGTCCGTTTTGCGCTGCGTTTAATTTACAATAATTATTAATAGCGTTCGCCGCCGCCGTCGTCGCGTCCGGGCGAGTCGATCGTCGGGCCGCGGGATCGACGATATCACACGCGTTTCCAACGCGCGGCGCGGCCGGCGAAAACGGGTTTTCGTATTTACGGCGTTCGACAGTTACGCGCTCGCGTACGACGATAATATGATTATTATTATTATTAGGCGTTCGGCGTTATAGATGATTTTTTTTTTTTTTTTCCCCGTCAGAATCTGCGCCGAACGCGGCGCGTTTCCGTTGTTGGCTGTTGGCGACTTTTTTTTTTTTTTTTTCCACGGGTCCGTCGCGTTCGGATCGAAAATTTCGCGCGAACCGTTCTTCTCGTACCGTCTCCGATCCGGTCGGCGCACCGAGGGGCTAAGATGGGTTTACGCTCGGTTCACTCCTTACGAATGGGAAAAACTCCGGGGCTATAACCGTGTACGCACAACTGTCATCGTCACTATATAACGAGTCCGTTTAATATTGGCCATTGATTTTACCGGTCGGGATTATAACGACGCGTGTACAGTACGTGTACAATTGAATCGAGTCCGGCGTGTTATCCGCGACACGTTCGATGACCGCGAGTCGCGAGTGGAGGCGCGAAATTTTCAGCGCGATAAACAACGCGTCGGAGTGTTCCGGGCTATTCCGGGACGTTTTCGTCGTTTTGATTTCTGAAAACTGTTACGCCTATTGCAATGTCGACTGTTCATATGCGCCGAACAATAAAAACGGGCGCACACATTTTTCGGAAGACTATAATAATACTATATATATTATATGAGACTACTCGGCCAACTTCTTTCCGAACACAACGTCGATAATTGGCTAAAGAGACTCGAACGGCCCGTCGTTTAACTATTCGGGATTCGGTTCGATATTATAATATTATGCTGTCGGGGTTTTTTTTTTCTCCGTTGAAAAAAAAAATAAAACAATAGTTTCCGCAATGAGGGGGGACGACTTACCGCGCGACGTCTGCGTCGGCCGCTGACGGTCCACGATAATTACTACAGAGATTTGTTCTATATACGTGTGTATATATATTTTTTTTTAATTGATGTTTGTGTTCGATAAACAGAGAGAGACAGAGAGAGGCGGAGAGACGAAGAGAGAAAATGTACACACACATACACCAGGAAAACCGGACGGACGGACGCTATTCACAAATAGCGAAAACTGGATCAGCGAAAGTCGCGCGTCCCGATCCGATCGAAATAATCAGTAAAAAAAAAAAAAAAAATAATAAAAAAACACGAACGACAAAGCGTATAATATGTATCATTTTTTTTTTTCTTCTGTTGTCCCTATATATTATTTATCGTCGCAAATATTAATATACTGATAATATTTCAACGTCCGTCAAAAATGCAAATACGCGTAACGGCGTACGGAGCGTAAGAACCGTGCATATTTAATGATAATATAAAAATCATGAAAATATTATGATACGCGTTTAGTAGTTTTTTGCCGCCGCCGCCGCCGCCGTGCCGTTTCGCGCGCGCGCGAAAACCTCGGGAGATTTATCGCCCGGCCGGCCGTTTGTCGCGCGACACATTAGCCGCGGAGACGATTTTTCACGCGCCCGGAACAGCGCGCGAAACGGCTTGTTTTCGTTAAATATTATTTAGATTTTTTTCTTCTTCTTCTTCTCCTTCGTCCACGCGTTCTCAAATTAATTAAACCGGACGCGCGGCCGAGCAGCCGGCCGTCGACCGTCGCGCCGTCGTCCGCGGACGCGATTTATCGTCGTTACGGATTTGCACGCGACCAGCGCCGGCGTATCGCTGTTACGTTACGGGCACAATACGAGTATCCCGGCTGAGAGATACTGCCAGCGTACCCCGGCGACCGGGCGAACGCGGACGGGAACGAGGAGAAGAACCCGCGGCCGCCGCAGATGGCCGCGCCGCGGGTGGCTACCATAATATTATTATTATTATTATTAAAATATACGCGGACGACGACGGTACGGTATTATAATTGCGGCGACCGGGTTTTTTTTTTTTTTTTTTTTTTTCCCCCGGGGTATTTTTTTTTTTTTTTCTATATCTTCCCCCCCCCCCAATCCACACCGCCCGTCGCCCCGGTTCTCGAGTGTAATATATTATTTTTACGGTAACCGCCACCGTCGTCGCGTGTATTTCATAGGACGCACGGGCCTACGTTCATACGTGCCTCCGTCCGTCCGCATTTTTTTTTCTCCTCGGTTGGCGCGCGCGCGCTAACACGTAATTTATTTCATTAGCCGAACGCCTACTAGAAAAAAAAAAAAAAAAACAACTAATACACACAACAAACGCATCGGCGTCATTGCGCGCTCCTACCGCGGTCTCTCCGCCTAGCGGTTACCGGGTTACCGGGTAATAGAAAAGACGCGTGTGCGTCGTCGCCATTTACCGCCGAGGAGTGCGGAAATACCTCTACCGGCGGACGGGCCTCGCGCGAGACGTGACGTGATATTAGTCGGGGAATATTTCGACAAGTCGTCACGGTCGATCCGTCGATGGCCGAAAAATGAAAACACGTAGTACGAATTGAGTGCCGCGTTGTTGTGCGACGAATCGTCCAGAAACTTACGGTCGGCGACAATCGGTTGTGCGGGGATACGCAATACGCACGAGGCACCTCGTATATACACACCGACATATCGAATTCAACATTATCTTTTTCCAACGTATATTTTTTTTTTTTTAGTACGTCGAATTTTGATCGTGGTGGCTCGAGCGCTTTTGTTTTTGTATTCATTTGTTGTAAGCCAAAAAAAAAAAAAATAAATAAATAAATAAATCCGTTTACAAAGACTGTGAAAACGCAAAAATTCATTACGGCCGCGAGTAGTGAACAAGCATTAAGCATTAACAACTTACTGCAATAGTGTCAATAGTAATTAATAATCATCAGAATACCTATAGGCACTGATCAAAGTGCAAACGATTTCAACGTCGAAAAGTACCAGCGAGTAAACAATAAGCAGTATGCACAGTAACTACGAATTAGCTCGCATTAAGGACCTCGAAATAAATCCTCGGGGGTTTTCAGGCGTTAATGCCGCGAGTATACTCTCCAATAATCATGGGCGATTTCTGTCTACCGGACGCGAGTGTTACTAAAATATTATCATCGCACTCCGTTTCATTAACAACCGCGGACAACTGTATCGCGGCCTATATATTATACATAAATATATATGTAAAAAAATAATAAAATAAACTGCACCCGTCTCGGCGAGGTCGTTTGGCAAACGCCACCGCGCGCGGTATTCCGAGGTGCGGCTAGCGCTGCGGCATCGGCAGTCCCGGACGTGTTCCGGTCGACTTTCGCGATCGGTAAACGATTTCGGCGCGTACGTATCGTTGTAAATAATAATGTATACAGGGCGATCGTCGCCAAAATCGTATCGCGTGTATTTACGCCGTAATTTCGCGGATTTTTTTTTTTTTTTCTTAGCCGCGTATATTAACACGCCGTCGTCACCGCACTCCCCGCACGCGGTCGCGGTATATACCTAATAATAATAACAATAACAACATAACGACGACGAGTACGGCAGTCGTCCTGTTATAACGAGGTCTGTTCCGGTGATTTATCGCGGAGCAGGCAAAAAAAAAAAAAATAAAAAAAGAATAGACATAAAAAAAAAAAAAAAAAAAAAAAAAAAAAAAGGTATCAAAACACGCGGGTTTTTTTTTTTTTTTTTTAATAATCGCGCGCGCGCATACCTCTAACCGCGCATAGTCTCTACCCCGGTATAATGAGAGCGAATTATATAATAATATAATTATACACGGGTGTGCGCGGTTGGAAAAAAGAAAAAAAAGCCCGTCGGTATATAACACGAATAATAATATTTCTACCGTATGCACACGATATCGTTATACAGGTATCGCGGCGGACCGGACGCGACCGGATTGTGTGTGTCGCCGTACAGGTCACCGCGAGTTCTCCGCGCGTTAATTAAACACGGAGGAGCGCGCGCGCACAATTTAACGTTCGTGTGTACGTACACCGGGAAAAGTATGCGGACTCGTCATCGGTGTAACATCCGGACACCGGCGATGGAGGTACGAAAAGACGCAGGAATTAGCGCCGATAACAAGCTCTCCGCAGTCAAGGGCCAATGAAAAGTGGCGAGGACGAGACTTGTTGAGTGACCATTACGGAGTAAAAATCTCAGGGAAGAAGGGAAATGGAGGAATATCCAGGAAAAGTTGAACAATTGACGTTGTACAAGAAGTGGTACATAATACCGAAAGACGGAAGACCGTCCGAAAAGCCCGGGAGTCGAAAACTGGGCGGATGTTGTTCCAGTTACAGGGACGGGTGGCGCGAAATAATTTATACATATATAGTAATGATAGCCAAAACTCGTAGATAGTACCCCCCCCCCCGTAGTAACCGTGCCATTAGAAGAAGAAGACATTGTTTACACGTACCGGAAACGGCGATAGTATTGTTGCTTTCGCGATAGTTACGAAATTGTCTACCCACGGGTAGATGATATTGTGACTTTATTCACGCTAGACACGAAATGCTCGTGAATTATAATACGATAGAAGAAAATCGCTCCCGACTGTCCCTAGACGACCGCGTTTATTTAACTAGATACAGTAAAAACCACCACGACATTATCACGCGTGCATGACAGCTATATTATCTCGAGAGCAATAGCGACGATCGCAAACTAACCTTATAGGTACTACTGTTTCGATAGAACTTTCACAGACATTTCACCCTACACTCACGCCTTCTGCACTATCATCGTTCATCACTTGTAAATTGTAAAAAAGATCTATGAAAATATCGCGGGTTAAACGGCTGCAACTATCACGGATAGTAACTATCATGATCGTGCGGTACTATCGGTAGGCTTTAACCGTAATAATCCAAATGGTTTGGTAATAATATGATGGGGACCGACGGGCGACCGTCACGATAGGGACCGGCTTATTCTACGCGCTCGGTCTCGTAAATAATGGACCAGTTTCACCGGGAAAAAAAAAAAAAAAAAAAAAAAAAAAATTAAATTTTTTTTTTTTTTTTTACCGGCCCAATAATAGTAATAATAATAATAACGGTGCCGCCACAGACTTAATGATATTATTATTTTTAGCGGTCGATTGCCAAAACAGACCAGTCGGCCGTCTGTATATTATTATACATTAACATATTTATTATAATTTTTATTATATAATAAATGTCAGATAAAAAACACATTTTCGGTCCAAATATCATAAAATATATAGAACATGTTATTTATACAAAAAATTTAATTCACTTGCTTTTCGATATAATTTCGTACGAGTTTCGCTGACTTTCATTTTTAAAAAAAAATCGCAGGCGTTTTATTCTCTTTTCTTACGTATTTATTCCGTCGCGAGAGTCGGCTATTTTGTGTATGGGGTTACTCTTATTTTCGCCGTCCCTTCCACACCTGCATCGTGTCTTCGTCTACTCCACACGCGTCCACAGTCGTGTCCCATTATAACCACCGGTCAATTTTGTTTTCGCCAAATTGCCACCCGGCTTCCATTTACAACTCGTCCGTTTCTCGACCGGCGGTTCCTCATTATCTTGCCCATACACCGTTTCCCGTTTACCCTGCGTTTCTCGCAGACGTCTCGAGAACTCTCATTTTATCCCCGTCATTATTGTAACGGATTCCAACTTTCCGTGCGGGCACAAAACGCGTGAAAATCATACTTTCCGCGCGGAATATCGTGATCGTTGTTCTTTTCGTTCGCTATCGTTTCGGTGCGATTTCTGCGACAGTCTTGCGCTCTATTTAATAATGTAGACCTATATAACGGCGTACGTGTGCGATTCTCACGATGTGTTGAAAAAAGAAAAATAATAATAATAATAAAAAAAAAAGAAAAAAAAAAAATTCTCGCCGCGTGCTTATAAATATGACCCGTCCTGCGCGCCGTACGACCGCCGCCGCCGCCGCTCGTATAAATTGTCGCCGTCGCGTACAACCAGTTTTATTTTTTTTTTTTTTCGTTCATAATTATGTTTGTTTAACACGCGTGTTAAATATATAAATAATTATTGTTTTATCATACACGTCGTCGTCTCGAATGCCGTCGTCGTAGTCGGCCGGCCCCCGTTCCGCGGACGCGCGGTCGCGTATACGCGCGCATAATAATAACGTACGCGCGCGCACGGACACCGGTAACATCATGTAGAGCAATTATTATTATTATTATAGCCGCTTGCTTGCCCGCAGATGGAAAGTGTGAACACTGGAAGTGAAATAAATAAATAAATAATAATACCGTTCTCACACACACCGTCTTATCGAGTCCGACTGGTTCTCGTCCGGCGGCGGCCGTTGTGCAACGGTTCGACCGCGCACCTGTGCGCGCGCGTGTGCCCGGCGCGGCGCTGGCCGGGCGCGCGCGTACCGCCCACTCGCCGCGGACGCCGTCCTAAAAAAGCTCGGCCGGACCGACTGAGAAATTCCGTCGATCCGCTTCGCAACGTCGCGCGCGTACACGCGGTCACGGCGCTGCGACGTGACGGCCGCCCCGGCAGTGCGCCGTCGGGTCGACTTTCGAAAACGGTCCGTTCCCGGCCGTCACCGCGCGCGCGCGTTTACTACGGCGGGCGCAGCTGCGCGGGACGCGTTACGATACGGACAGCGACGGCGGGCGCAGCTGCGCGGGACGCGTTCGGAAACGTCCGGCGCCGAGCGTTTCGGGACGACAACAACACCGTCCCGGCGAATTCGCCCGTAGCCCGTCCCGGGAGCGCACGGTAAAACCGCGCCCGACCGGGGACGCGTCTGGATGCGTAGCCGAGCGGGCTGTGGAGCGGTGGACACCGCGCGACCTGACGACTGTCAGCCGAACGGTTGCGCACCACTGTTGTTAACGCGAATTACGCATTGCTAAAATTCGTCCGGACGAAATCGCAATACCGGCGAATTAGCGTACACGGTTCAGAGTGCTGTTGTGTTTGTTGCTGATGCACGATGGACTACCGACGACAACGGTTTTTAAAATCCCGTCTCGCCACCGATCCTGTTTCCCGTCGACCCGTCTCCGTCGCCGTGACCCGCCGAACGCGCGTCATTGTCGGCCGCGTCTTGCCGACGCTTTTCGACCCGCGCGACGTTCCCCCCGCGTAAAGGTCTTTTCCTTCCGTACCGCACCGTCCCGTATCGTTTCCGACGGAGCGTATTATTTCCGAACGAGCGAACAACGAGCGTTTCGCGCCGCCGTGTAGCGGTTTCTGTTCGAGGACATTTGTTTTGAGACAATAAATATTGGACGGCGGATTTCAAATAGTTGCCGAATTATCGCCGAGCTGCCGGACTGTTGCGCGATAGTGTTACGGGCGCGAGCGTATCATTGGAATCGGGTCTTTAAAATTAACATTCTCCGTGTTTCGGTCTCCGTAGCGATCGCGGTATGAGTGGTGTATAAAAAAAAAAAACCCGACGAAGATAATATTGTAATTAGAATATTATTTGTAACACGCGCGGTCGTATCGTTGACGTTTATGTACCGCGCGCGGTAAAAGCGATACGGGCGAAATCTGCGCGCCGGGCATATTATAGGTATAGGTAGGTTTCGAACCCGTTTTCCAATTAAAACTCGATCGAGGACGGTCTCGTGTGATGTATATTATTATTATTATTATTATGCACTTGATCTCGTCCGAAACGACATCTGCATCACGCGCGTTATCGCGAAAACAGTTTTTTTTTTTCCCGCGCTCGTCGTAATCGTAATATTATTATAATAATACGAGTAGGAGAGTATAATACACATACGTATAATAATAACGAACTTTTTAACCTTATTTCCTCCCCCCCCACCACGCGGTTTTGATACGGACGTTGTTTGCGTTCCCCGGCGGCCATACCCGTGCGCACGTACTCGGTAAAAAATAAATAAATACGACCGCGACGCGCGAAATCCGAACCGCCCCGCGCGGTCGCCGCCACCGCGCGAAATCGTTCCGGTCGATCGCTCGCGAACGACAACGACAGCGTTACAATAACACGAAAATAATTAACGTCCCGCGCCGAGAAGAAAATCGCCGTCTCTATTGTACCGCGTCGCGCGTGTTCGAGCCTCGGAAAAAAAAAAAAAACGCACCGGTTGTCGCCCGCCAAGGCCGCGAGAGCGCCGCGGATCAGTCATTTTCGAGTTTCTCAACTGGTCGCCGTCGCCGTCGTCATAGCCGGCCGCGCCGGTGCCGAATCGAGGCGGGCGTTTGGACGGTTGTGGGGTTCGGGCGGGTCGGGCTATAGTCCCGGGCCGCGGGTCGACGTGGCGTCGCGAGACGTTTACCGTCGATGGCCCGTCCTTTTCGCCCGCCGGTCTTTTATGCACGAACACTGTTCGGACATTGTACGCGTCGTCATTTTCAGGTCTACCGTTTTCGGTCCGTAGACCCGGGCCCCCGTAAAAGCCGATAATCCGACCGTAGCGACGGTTACGGGAGCCGCGCGCGTTTTCCGGTCAACGTTTACGACGTACGGCCGTACACACGGGCGGGAAGAAAGCCATGTCGCGTTGTCGCGATGACGTTTTCTGTTCTCGAAATCGACGTCCGACGGCCGACCGTGATAGACGTGCCTGACACGTAACTATCAGCGTTCAGCCGGCGCGTCATAATGAAACGACCGATTTTGAACTTGAACGTCGTAAAAAAAAAAAAAAAAAAAAACAACGATTCGCGCTGCGTTTCGGACGAAACTTGATAATTCGGAGATAGCGATACAATTTTAATTAAACGCGTACGACGCGGCTCGATCGAACCATCGCGACATTAACGCGATTTCTCGACTCGAAGTCCGCCGAACCGCGTGACCGCGGCCTTGTGGTTTCAATACGCAATAATTGTTATTGTAATTTTCGGCGGACCGACGACGATGACCGGCGCCGCGCAAACGTTCCGCCGCCGGAGAGCGCTTTCTAAATACGCCGTAACCGACATTATCACAAATACACGGTTTTGTTTGTCCGCCGTCCCCGGCGAAACGGACGCCGCGGAGTGCCGCATAAACACTGTCTCTGTGTTATCATTATCATTATCATTATTATTATCATTATCATGGTTATTGTTATTATTATTATTTCTGTAACTCCGCGTACACGTTGCGCGCGACGATAATAATATTATTATTATCGCAGGTGAAACGGCGGCGGTCCGGCCGCGCACAATAACCCGGCGCGGACGGCTATAATGCGGGACGACCGCGAGTGAGAAAGCACGATGAAAGGATTTATAACCCGGGTATATGTGCCGAGAGCAGTACGCCTAACCGTTTTTTTTTTTTTTTTACGCCACGCTTGACGGACCGTGAAAACTTCGAACATTATCTCTCCGTGTATCTGGCCGCTGCACGCGCGCACTCTCATTGTTTTTACATGTCATTTTTTTTTTTCTTTCCTTTTCTTTTCTTTTCTTTTACTCCTCGCCACATACCTGGGCACCGGGTAAGGCGGGCACACCTGCGCCGCGCGGGTATTCTTCTTCTTTTCACTCGATTTCGCGGTCCGCGAACTAATATATAACGTTACGCCGGACGGTGCGGCCGCGGAACACCTCGGTATGAGCCGGGTAAACCGACGTGTTAAAAAAAAAAAAAAGTAACCGATTTATCGCGTCGTTTTGTTTTTCCGGGAAAACGGTTGGGAATGCCGAAATCGTGTTCCGAATAAACATCAAACCAGTACCGTCGTCGGGCGAAATACGTCGGGCGCGGACAGATCGGCGAACGCAAAAACAAAAAAAAAACGTTTACTCGCGGAATCCGAAAAACCGGCCGATACACGCGAAACGTCGCGACCTCGCGACGGCATTCGCGCGCGATACCGTCCACTTGACGCGATCGTCGGCGCGTCCTCGAGACACGGTTTCCCAAAGCCCATACTAACGTCGTAATAACGATAACGACAACAATACAATATAATAACGTTACACGCGTCTAATGCGGTACACCTCGTCCGCATAGGTTCGCGACGGTAAAATATCGGACGGCCGATCGACCTTGAACGGTCTTAAAATGGAGCAGCAGATGCGGGAAGACGAACGACCGGCCGCCGCCGGTAACCCCGGTTCACCTTCGAGTCTGTTACGCTATCGTCGTAATTTTTTATTATTATTATTATTTATTTTTTTTTCGCGTTTACGACCGACCGCGGTAATATACCAACGCTCGCGCGAAAAGGTAACTATCGCACGATACTATTTTACATAGTTATTATGACGTCGTCGGCCCGAAAACCAGCGTACCCGGCTATAACACCCGCGGTATATTTTATTCGTACATTTTTTTTTTTTTTTTAATAACGCTCGGCGGTTTTCGTACGGCGCGAGATCGTCGTATCGGGCCTCCCCCACCCCCCTCTGCTGTCGATAATATTATCGCGCGATACAGTTTACGTACGTATTTTTTTGTACGTTGCTACAACACGGTATTGAATAATACGCCGTGGAGCGAAATTTCCGACCGGAGATATTGCGCGCGCCGCGGCGGCTGTTGTAGCCGTACGGGTGTACAATACGCGCGCACATACGTCCGCTGTGACGATACGCTATTACGGGATAATGTTTTTTTCTTTATTTTTTTTTTATTTTTTTTTTTTCTTACGGCCCGAGATCCGCGCGCGCCGCCGCGTCTCATCACGCGCCGCCGAACGCGACGGGCGCACGCATCGCAATAAATCATCGGGGGATTTTCGATTACGGCGCTCTCCCGCCGGCCGCGCGAGTAAAGTGTCGGGGCCGCAGAAAATTGATAATTACGCGGCCGATCCGTTTTCGCCGGCCGTCGTTCCGGCTCCCGCCGCCCGCGACCGCGACGTGCCGACGCCCGTGCCGCCGCCGCGCCGCGCGTCCGAAAATCATCGCCGCACGACAGTATCACGCGGCTCGCCGGTGTCGCGACCCCGCGCGCGCTGTCGGCGGCGGCGTCGACGGATCCGGATGGGGGGGGGTGGTGAGGCGGGAAAGGGAAACCGATCGCCCCGCACCCCCTCCCGTCGCTCGCTACCGGACGTACACTCTCTTGGTCCCGACGCGACGCTCCGGGCTCGGTTCGCGCCGCGCCGCAGTGTTCGCGAAATCCGGCCCTCCCCGCCCCCGTGCGGTTTTATAGTCTGCGCGCACGCGGCAAACGACCGGGCGGTTTTCGCGCGCGCTGCAGCCGTCCACGGTGTCTCCGGAGCAAAGAATTTGCTCAACGTTCACCGTCTACTACGCGTGCGCCGTCGTCCGATAACCGGCGAAATCGCGCGCGAGCCGTGAGCCGATTTTAAAGCGCGTTTCGCGAAAACCGCGAGAAAAACCGAAAAGCGACCCAATCGGTGCGCCGACTGGGTCGCGACCGGCACAACGGAGATTTTTGGCGGACAATTCGTTTACGGACACGGGTTGAAGGTGACGACTGGCGAGATTTCGATGAATAGAAATCGATATTTTTTTTTACGCGCGTTCGCCGCCGACACTAGCACACACCCGGGATTTCCGGAAGCATTTCGTTTACAGAAGCGAACGAACGGGTGTTTCGAAGCCCGATTTTCGACATCAACCGCTCTCGTGGCCGTCTCGCTCTTCGAATGATTTTAGATTAGACGACGGGGCTGTTACCCAGATATTTTCGTTTCATTTTTTTTCCCACGCAGCATATCTGAAAAGACGCCGAATTCAATAACACGGTTCGCCCGTAATTCGCAATTTGAAAGGATTTACCGCAAAAACAGCAATACAATAATAATTCGCGTATATTTTCTAAGAGAATATCGGTGACGACCCGAAATACGGGCGACAAACATCAAAGCGTTTTTTTTTTTTTTTATCCCGTTTTATTTTGACGGCTTTCGTCCGCTTTGTAAAAAAAAAAAAAAAAATCCCCGAGGCGCTGCACGCTCTGCCGGGTAGTCCATTCACACGTTGTCGGATTTTGTGCACGTCGCCGGGCGCGTACGAAACAAACGCGTCGCGTGATATTATTCTCCGGCCGGCGAGAAGACAAATTGTTTCTGGTATAATTGTCGGCGACATCAATATAACGTAATAAAACGTTAGTGGCGAAATTTCTTTGACGCGCGGACGCGTTTCGTGACGAACATTGTCGCAGCGGCGCGCGCACGTATTGACAACCGTCAGTCCTCCTGCAGTTTATTACGGCGTGCCGTAATCGTTTTCGATTAAAGCGAAACGTCGGGGGGGGGGGACGGGAGAAATACGAAAAATGCACGCGATTTTTCGGCGGCCGTCGGTGCCCGCACGGGCGTGCACAACGAGCGACGCATACAGACGACCGAGGGCTGTTCGGCGGTGACGACCGCGACGGGCGGGTACAAACGGTTCGGAATTCCGACGTTTTTATCGCGCGACCGAACAAACAAATACATACGTATATAACAGTTCGTAATGACAAAACGAGCGCGCGCGCGGACGATTAAAATAGTTTCGAAAGAATTCGCCGAGATTTGTCCGCGCTACCGTCGTCTCCGTCCGGTCCGCCGCGTCGACGATGTGAATCGCGGTCGGACTCCGCACTGTTATTATTATTGTTGTTACACTCGCCGCCGCCGCCGCCGCCGCCGCGTGTACCTCGGACGGACGGCGAACGAATAATGTGCCGTCGTCGCACAACAACGACGATTCCGCGATCCTTCTACGGCAGTTCCGACTCCCGCGGGATCGACCGCTTTTGCGCGCCACGACGCCGGCGGTGATTTCCGCGCTCTCGCGAATAGTCGATGCCCCCGTCCCGTCCGCCGGCGCGCGCGTACGTAATGTCATCCGCGCGATTATAACAATATCGACGTGCCGTCCGCCGGCGTGCGCACGTACATATATATACGTGTGTGTGTGTGCGTGTGTGTTTGTGTGTGTGTGTGTGTGTGTGTGCGTGTAATTGTGCGTGCACGTGCGCGTGTACGGGTACGCGCGGTCCGCGCTCCGATTTTCCGCGCGGTTCGTTTCGTTTCCCTACACGTAGACGCGGCTGCAGACATTCCAGTCGAATTGCGTACGTATTTCGCTATGCGCTATTTTATCTAGCCCGTTAGAGGGGGGGGGAGAGGCAAGGGCTACACGCCGTCCCACCGCCCCCGCGTACAATAGTACCCGCCGAGCCATTTCACCGGGTTCGCCGGGCCTGTCCCGCCGTCTTCCGCCTCCGGGCGTTCCCGGGCGACCCGGAATCCGGGGCCCGGCGAAAACCAGACGCGAAAGAGACGCGGACGTCGCAGGCGCGCACGAGTCCCCGGCCGCGGCGTGTAATTCACGCGGGAACACGTGACGCGCGCGCGACCCGCACACGCGCCGGCCGCACTCGGGGCTACGTCACGATCTCGAGCACACGCCGCCGTTCGTGTGCTTGGCCCGCGCACGCGCTCGCGATTTTCCCCGTCCCGGGCCCGGTGAAAGCGCACACGACCGTCAATATAATGATAATAAAACAACGTTCAGAAAAAAAAAAACCACCGACAACAATAATAACAATAATAATAATAATAATAATACCTAATAAACAGGGCATAAAAAGTCCGACACGATGCGCCGGCCGGGATAAAACGGCAATGGATATTATAATGTGCGTCCGTCGCAGTCCGCGGTGTCGAGTGACACTGTCGCAGGCCGTTCCGGGCAAACGGAGTCGGGGCGAAACGTAAAACGCTCGAGTGGACGGGATATTTGTTATTTAATATTATCGGTATGACTCGTCCGTGACGCATCCAACGGTTTTCGCGGGTGTGACGGGAGGGGGAGGGAAACCGAGAGATTTTTTCCGTTTTCTTTGCGGATATCCGCTCCCGACTATCGCGGATTGTTTTTCGCTCGCGGCCAGAATGCGAACGGTAAAGAATAGAATACCGCGTTCGCGAGACGCATTCGATGTGTCGGCCGGTCACGAGCATTTTCGCGGGGCGGCCTCGCCCGGTGGTCCGCGCGACGGCCGCGGAGACGGATATTCGAATAGCCATCAATAACAAATTTATAATCGTATTATTGCGTAACCGCGTACAATACGCGGTTACGGCGCACGGTTTGGCTCGGCATTATGTTATTGTGACGTCGCGCTCGCTTTCGGCCGCGGACACGGCATTACGTAATATCGAAATAGAACGCAACGATTTCGGACTCGGTTATTCGACATTTGTCCGCCGGTACGCACCGCGTCTGCCGTCGGCCGGCCAGCCGGGCGCGTTTTTAACGGTTGTCGAACGGCGGTCCTTCGATCCCGGGGCCGATTTTCGAGGAGTACTCACCGCGAGCGAATTGAATGTTGAGAATTCGGCGGGCGCGACTCGCGCTTTTATCGCCCGGCAAACAACACGTCAACATCTCGTCGCGAAACAAACGGCCGACGTTTCACACTCGCAGCGACCGACGCGACTTATCCGACGGCGAAACGTCCCGTACGCGGCCAATGCCCGCGGCGGCGAAATATCGCGTTAAGTTACTGATGGCCGAGAGAGACCCTCGCCCGTCCAAGAACGCCGCGGACGGTGGTCGCGGGCCCGTGGCGTTCGCCCACTCCGGCCGGCCGGTATTCGCGCCACTGTCCGTACGCACACGTTGCACGGTTGTCGGGCGTCGAAAGTTCGTTCTCCGGCGGTCGCCCCCCCCCCGCGCGGTTTTCCGCGTTATTCCGAACGGCGTTTTGAACCGACGAATAATTCGGTGGGTATACGTAACATCGCCATTATAACGGGAACATATTTTTCCCCGTCATCCGACGTCGTCGTCGTCGTCGTCGTCGCGATCGTCGGAACCGATTACTCGGGCGGCGGCGCGCATTATGCAGAAAATAATATCCGAACGGACGCCATTTGAATAACCGACGCGGACCCGCAACGATCGTTATCGGTGCGCGCAGCACGTTACGCGATATTTACCGGTTTATAAAATACGTCGTGCGCGACAATTACGATTATTATTGGGTATCATAACACGCGTGTACACGCGCGTTTGTTCGCCCGTTTAAATTACCGTGTCGCCGGCGCGAATACGAGTGTGCGGTACGGTTCTGTTATAAAAATAGACCGCGGGGTCCGGATGTCGTTTTCGCCCGGCGGCGGTGACGACACCGGTCCGGTGTCGTCACCGCCCGCACGTTACAACGCGCCCGGCCCGTCGACGGATCTCGCCGGAATTCAAACGCCCGGGCGTACCGCATGGTAATTCGGTGTTACGCTCCGACCGCGGCCGACCGCGGTGTCAACGATCTCCGGCGCGGGAATCCGAATTTTCCATCTTCTTCCATCTCAAACCGTTCCCGCCGTCCGGCCCGTCCGGCCGCCGTCGCTGCGAGCACCGGGGTACGCCCACCGCGTCGTCCGTTCCCTCGTGCGGACGTTACGTTGTCGGCGATAACCGTCCGGGCAATCGATTCGGATTCCCGTGCGTCGCGTTATTATTGCCGATTTATGCCGGGAGCGCGGCTCGTTATCGCCGCGCGCAACGACCGTGTAACGCGTTTTCCCCGCACACGCGTGCACGCGCGCGCACGATAATAACGATGATAATACACCTGTACACGTCCCGCGAGTACACGACAATAGAACGGAATTCGCGCGGAGATTTTCTCGATCGGACGCGATACCGGGCGAGCGGTCGAAACGCACGCCTGCGTAGGTATACGCGCGTGTACGCGCGTAGACGCGTTGAAAGACAGAAACGGAAACGAAAATAAACGTCCGCGCGACACGTCTCCCGCCGCGCGGGCCCCGGCGAAAAGCCGTCGCGATCTTCTCGAGATTAAAACCGCGGCTGTCTCCTTAGCGGAGAAGATGCGCCGCCGTCTTCCCGAGTCGCCGCGTTATTATTGCGCGGCCGTGTACACGTGTATGTGCGCGGCAATCATATTGATTGCGCCGATCGCCGCCGCGGCTATCGCGTCTCCGATCGGGTCGTTTCATCGAACGGCGTTTTAGCCGCCTCACCGGCATTTCTTCCGCGGTCGAACGCCGTCGTCGCCGACCTACATACTTCTGAGCGGCGGTCGGATCGGCGGCACCGCCGCGCGCGATCCGCGGCCCGAACGGACGCCGGGGGTCAGGTCCCGGACCGGCTCGTGAAGCGGCGGCGTTTCGGATCGATCCGGGACGGCCGAGATACCCGGGACTCTTTCCCCGAAACGCGACAGTTTTTACACTGTCGTCGTATTCTACGGCGAAAGCGTACGCAATGCGCGCGCGAAAATGCGCGACGGGCCGTCGGGGTGTGAATCTAATCGCGTGCAAGTGGCCTTCGTAATGCGTACCGGCTGTATATAGTTGACATCTATTTCGCCCCGTGTCCGTTCGACCGGCCCGAAATTTATGGGTCTTTCGTCATCGGTTTCGCCACCGCCACATCTTCCGGTCGGGCTTATAGGGTCGCGAAGCATCCGCCCCGACTTCTAGACGACGGTCTACGTGGTACGCACCGTTATACTTCATTGGCGGGTGAAAATCAGGACAGTTTACGATCGACAGACCACGCGGCTCCTAAACGGGACGCCGTCGTCGACAAGCGATTTATCATCAGACCAGGACCCGGAGAGACGGCGATATTCCGCGGAGGACGCGGATATCGTTGACAGCCGTCGACCGACTGGGTGGCATCCTATTGAGCGGGTTAAAATAAAAAAGATCAAACCGTGTCACGGCTCACGTTGTCGTCGTCGTCGTACTCACTATACGCGTGTATAATAATGGATAATGGAATTTTCGGTTTTGAAACGGATTAGATTTCGAATCGTTTTTGGCGCTCGCGGTACCCATGTATACAAACCGGGTCACGGACGATGAGACGATCTTCGTCGTCGACGCGCCTGCCTCCTAATGATGATCTGCCTAAACGACCGAAAACGATTTTTTTTTTCGCCTCGTGTCGTCATATTATTATTATTATTGCGGCGATGTCGTGTACGACGTGGGCCGCGAATCCGCAGGGGGGTGCTGCGGTAGATTCACGTCGGACGTCCGACCGTCATAAAAGTACCGCGGACACATTAATATAGATTTTCCCAAGTGGGTACAAATATACAATATAGCTGTTTTTTTTTTTTTCTACGAGACGACAATAATATTATTATCGTACGGCCGCAAACGTAGTCGTATTGAAGATTGAAGCGTTCGAATGGGGGGGTTTTTTTTTTCTTTATATATATAAACGAATCTCCCGACGATCTCGGCCGGCTTGCGAGCGAACAATAGGAAAGTAACGGGCAACAACATCATATTACATGGGTAGGTAGGTGTACACGCAGGTACGTTTCGGCGCGACTTTCAGCTCGTCCTGCGGCGATCCGATGTTCTTCCGAGATAATCTCGGACTACTGCGCGCTTGCAGGACGTTCGTTGTACTATCGTTATAATATTATACATCGTGTTTTCGGCGAGGGGAACGCCGCAGCTGCAGCACAGCATATTATAAAACGAAAATATACACCGCTCGCATAAATATTATACACTACACGTTATATTGTATACGCGTACATGCCGGACTGCAGCGGACCGCTAAAAAGTCCCGAAGGCTCCGCAAAACAGGTCGGAACGTTTATAATAGTTTTTTTTATACACACATATATATATTATAATATTATTATGTTCTTTACGACGCCGGGCGATATATTGACTTTCGGACGGATAAGATTCCCGGCTCTCGCCTTCCCTCCCTCCCCCCCCCCTCTTATCGTCCGTCCACCGCCCACGTATCGTAATTATTGTATCGGCCGCCCGCACCGGTTTATATACAGTTTAAAAGGCTCCGACTCAAAACTGGACCGCCGCCGCCGTCGCTGATCCGAAGTAGATCTCTCGTCGATAATATGCAATAATATAGGTAATGTCTATATATATATATATATATAATGTCGTCGGCTATTGATTTTCGACCACACTTTCACCGCGGGTCGTATAACAAATAGTAATAAAAAAATAACAAAATCGATCTCTTATGTTATATATTATTTTTTAATTCGATCCGTCGCAGTTTGAGCTCAAAGGACATTGTCCGGCCAGTACCCGCGACGTTTCTTGAATGTCGAATCCGATGGCATTGCGTTGTCGCGCTTTTGCGAAGCGTCTCTCGATTAAAACTTGACAGAATATAATAGCACGTATACGGGCCGGGGACGATTTCGCAAAAAACGTCGGCCAGCGAAACGTTTCGCGTGTAAGTACGGACGGTTAAGCGGCCGAGGAGACAAAGAACGAGACCATAAAAAAAAAAAAAAAAATCACCGACAACGACGGACGAAACGCGTAATCAAAAGATCGTAATAATAACGCGGACTATTAATAATACATCTGCGCGTCGGAGTCATTGCGTCATTTCGGCGTACAAAACACGAAAATAATGGATAAACGCGGATCTCGCGTTTTTCTCCGCGGCAATGGTAATTTAATTAAAAAAAAAAAAAAAAAAAACAATTGCGTCACTGTATTATAGTCCGGCACACACACACAATCGCGCGTTAAAATATGTTCCACCGGCGTGAAAATAAACACGGTTGCAATATAGCTGCTATTCGGACACCACCGGACAACGTTTTTTTTTTTTCCCCCGCTCGTTCTTATTTTCTCGTCTACCTCCTCCGTCCCCGCGGATGTGGTGCGCGCCGCGTAAATTTTACGATCGAAAATTCGCGCCTTATCGCGACGGTATAATCGATCTCGTTTTCGTTAATCATTTTCGCTCGTAACTACTATACCTACGTGCACACACACATATATATATATATATAATAACGTACGTATAATGTATACACGTCCGACCTGCTCCGCATCTAATCGCTCCGATCGGTATTTTTATGGCCACTGAACGTATCTACATAATATAGTTTCGCATTCCCGTCCGTTCGACCGTCGTGTGGGAGTTTCCGCCGCGTACGGTCCGCTTTTTTTTTTTTTTTTTTTTTTTTCGATTTTTACATTTTTCTCGTGGCCCCGAGCGCGTGTGTCCATCGGTCCGACCGTATCCGGCGAATATATTCACTTCGATCCGCTTTCTTTATACACGCACCGTATCCCGTCGTCCGATGAGTCGCAAGGGGCTCCGTCGTCTCTAATTTTTTAATTTTTTCTATCAACTCCAAGCTCGTTGATTTCTCGTTTTGTTTCTTATTCCTCTGTCCGTCTTTGATTCCCCCTGTCTATCTATCTATCCAATATTCCTCGGAACTGACCAGCGAGGACCCTTCGTTAGTTTCAACCGAACGTCTTTCGTAATTATTGATTTCGTTCATTTATTGTTGACGGTTTATTAATGTAAACACTTTTTCTTGTAATTGGGCATTTCGCTCGTGTAATACTATACACCTATACTATGTAATAATCTCAATAACATAATATGAAATTAATAAGACCATTTTAGAGGCCTCGAGCATTTCTGTCCCCGCGACAATAAGAAAGGAAAACTCCAGTAAAACCGTATTTCTCTGGTATACCCGACGTGGTTTAGCGTAACAAATATCAGTGGTTGTTTTCGTTTAATTATTGACGTGAACGAGCGAATGGAGTTGGCCGAAATCCCCGTGTCACGGTAATATCGAAATATGTATGGTTGTGTTCTATGATTTGTTTTTCTTATCGGGCTAGGTTAGGTTGGGCGGGGTTGATAGGATCTGATCCGATTGCTATCTGTTTAAACGCCAGGAAGTTAAAACTTTCAGAGATAACAAATTATCGGACGCTTTTTAACACAAATGTTTTGTATAGATCACGGACATTCTTATGACGACAAAATAAATGTCAGTTTTTATTATTTTTTTTTTTTTTTTTTTTACCATTCCCGAGCGATTTAAATATGGTTTATTCGCAATGTCCCATCGGATTGGTCATCGCGGACTCAATATAGGGTCAATATCCACCTAGAGGGGGAGATCAAAACGATAATCCGCAGAGCAGCATTTCGCCGACACGCGTCCTCGGAGATTATATGTATTATTATTGTTCGATAGCTTTTTTTTTTTTTTTTTTTTTTTTTTCGTAATATTATTCTTAGTTTGGGCGCGTCTCCCGCCGCCGACGACGACGACGACGACGCGGAGATGGCCGTCGACGATAATCAGCCATTGTGCGCCTGCAGTGTTCGCGCGAGCGGTAAAACTGCGATTTTTTTTTTTTTTTGTTCTTTTCTTTTCGTAATCGAAATTATTATCCGAACGAACGGGTTAGGTCAGGATGATAATACTGGCGGTAAGTGTATACCAGCTATATCATTATAGTGTACGTTAACCGCATGCGCCCGGTTATAATAATAATAATATAATTCGATTCGCTCGGGGGCGAGCAATCGAGTTTTGCACGGGTACTCACACCCACCCACATATTATTATTGTTGTATGTGTATACAGGTACCGGTGATGAATATTGGGAGCCGATAATATTGTATGTGTGTGTATATATATACGCGTGTAGATGTGGTGCACATCATAGTGCGATACACATAAAAATTATAATAATAACTCGTGTGTACGGCCGCGGCTCTCTGCCTCCGACCTGAAGCCGCCACACGAAAATAATGTTATTCGTATTCGTGACGATGCGCCGCACACACATCACCGGCAGCCGCGCGGTAATTACGGTTCTTCATTAACATACCGATCGGAACCCGGAGTACCTGTACAGGTACCTACCTACCGACCGACCGACCTACCTTCCTGCCAATAACGTACTGTACTCGTATACCTATACACCGATTGCTGCAATTATTATTATTGCCGGCGAAATTTCAAACGCTAGACGTATAGGCTGCTACAGTATAATATGGTGTACGCTCGTTATATCGGTCCGTCGAAATCTGCGCGGAGTTCGGTATGGCTAGGTAAGGACGTTGCCCGCACCGAGTCGGTGTAGTGCCCCATAGCGCAATAATCGCGTGATTTTTTTTTTTCTAGATACCTAGCCCAAAATCGATTCGCGCGTATTTCGTACCTTTTTTTTTATTATCGTCGCGTCCTCATTCAATGCCATTTTTTCAGCTCGGTCCTTGGCCGCACGTTTTCCATTGAAGAACTTCACGCTTTACCTGCATTCGACATCTCGGCCCAATTTAAACTATTGACGACGTAATGCATTTCTTTTAAACTTTATACACGCCAATACAGACACGCCAAACACCAAACGGTGTCGGGGGGATAGGAAATTAATCGTACCGAAGATTCGCCCTATTTCGGGGGTTTCGAATTTCACTTTTTTTTTTTTCTTTTTCTTTTGCAGTATAGGATTTATTACAGTATATGGTATAATACAATTCGGCTATCTGCAATTTATTGTTTAAACAGAGACTGGGGAAAATACGAGTCTCAAGTGACTGTATACCTGTTGATCACGGTGATAGGTGGGTGGGGGGTTGTCATCCAAACATTAATTATTATAATTTTCGATTCCGTTCTTCTCCGACGACAGTAATAATATTATATTATAAAGCATACCATGATAATATATTCTCAATCGCCGCCGTCGAGTAATATTTCACGCGTCCGCGTCGTTTTCGCTCCACGATCCACGTGCGTTTATTCGCCAGGCGAGATTAAAATATCGTTAAGTTTTTTATATAATAATCATATTTATTCACGATTTTTTTTTTTTTTTTTTCTGTGTTTTTAATCGCTAACAACACATTGTTCTCGAATAATTAATGACGGAAACGTAATCCCATATGGCCTCGAGTATATAAGGTATACCTATAAATATTATACATATACTTTCGGGAACCATCATCTCGTAACACGATTTGAGATAGGCGAATAATAACGATTTATCAAAACGATCTCGTCTGCAGAGCGCGCGCACGCGTCCTAATGTACTTGTATATGTTTTTTTGTAAATTACGTTTAGCGATATGCGTTTTAGAAATATAGAAAATAAAATACCCGACGCGTTTCGCACCACGAGCGGGCCGTCAGCTATGTCATAATAGGAGTGAAGTTTAAAATGTATATAGGATATAAAGGGTAATTTTATTTATACACTGAAAGAAACGATAAATCATCGCGTCGTGTTTTTCGATTTTTCCTTGAGTGACCCACGAAACCGACAAAAAATAACACTCAACATTTTCTTCGTCCGGTTTTTTAAATCGTACATTAATAGAAAAACTAAACGTATTTTGCAAATAAATAACCCAAACATCTGCATCTTTTAAGGTAAGACGTCGAATAGTTAGGAGCATTTTAACTTCCGGGAAGATAAATAATACATCACTTAGTACAACTAAATAGTGGTTTCTATGCTACACTCGGAATCAAAAAGTGTCGTGTAGTAAATGGAGTTTAGTGGAAAAATCGGAACGCGGAAATGTATATTTATATAGCTAGTAAACGAAAAACGGTACAGGTACAGATCGATAAATCAATGAATATTGTTGAAAATTTCTTCTTTTTTTTTTTTACAATCTTAAAAAGACGACGAGTGAATTATTGCATTCAGGAGAGTAAAAAAATTATATAGGAGTATATCTATTCATTTAATATTGTAGAGAGAAAGACTATTATATATTGTTATTTTGTTTTAGGGAATTTATTTGCGTCGTAACCGATAAGTACCCCGAGGTTATTGATAATATTTTAATAACAGCGCATTATGATAATGAGCGGATTTTTTTTTTTTTTGGCCCGCAGTGTTATACGGCTCTATAGATTATAATAATACGTACCCGCGTATGGTATATAAAGAAAATGTTTTATATACATATTATTATTATACACGTATATACGCTTTTTCGTTTTAAATCGTGATGTGTGTTTTGCATACCTGATTAGTGGATCATCTATATATTTTATAGTGGACCGTCGATAGGTCTGGGTCTGGAATATCCGTCGACCGCTGCAGAGTTCCGGAAAAGAAAACGATGACACAGTAGTATAATAGGTATACGAAACGTATTACAGTCCGGCGGTATCTGAAATCATAAAACAAAACGAATAAAACGAAATGTAACAAAATATATAAGCTATACTGTTGTATATAGTTAAGAATAAATAATTATATTGTTGAATTCGATTGACATACATATGATTTTAGAAAAAGTCATTAAATTGAAAAAAAAAAAAACAACTTAAATTTACGATATTTGATTGTATAATGTAAATAAAGTCCTACAGTTTAAGGCGCTCACTGAACGAAGTGGTGAACAATTGAACTGAATCTGTTCCACTAAGCGATCGCAAAATTAACACAGTGGTGATCAGCAAAGGTGGCCCGGCCTTGTCTTCTAAGACCGTGCATCGGAACAGTATACACCTGTATCAGGTTCGGGCCGACAAGTATTATAGGTTATGTTTCGTAAAACCTCCTAAATCCATCGATCAGGTTATTATTATTGTTCGCGTTTCTGCTCGCACCGAACTCGGCAGTAGGGCCCGTAAATACGTGGGCGGGGGGGAGTTATTTCTTTTCTATTATTTTTTAATTAGTCGTCTCCGCGATCCGGTCCAAGCCACCGTCGTTCCGCCTCCGGTCCGCGACTTCCGCGCGCGCTCTCGTCGATACAGTTAAAACGCGGAATTCGGCCGGCGGCGCGCTCCCATCGCATAAATAATGAAAACAAAAATAAACGGGTGAAAAGAGAGTATATTGTGGTTACGCACCTGCGGTATTATAATCGTATCGATTTTTGTGACCCGATTCGCGTTGCGACGACAAAACGCGGTATTTGTCGAGTACCCGTGTAGACGCATAATAATGTACGTACACGTATCTGCGAATAATCGACCGAAAGTCGGCGGACGCACGCGTACTGTAGTATAATCTGACGGCGCGTAACCGAGAGCGGGCGAAGAGAATTCGCCGATTGGGGTTTTAATTAAATTACAAAAAAAAAAAAAAAATATAGAAGAAAAAGACCGTCCGCAACAACAATAAATAATAATACGGAATCGGTGAAATTGTTTCGTGCGAACATAATACGTCAGCGCGCGCGCGCGCGTGTGCGTGTGTGCGTACGCGTGTCGTCTCGCAAAGAATCTGCTTTCGCCGTCCGTCTTCGTCGTCGCGTTACACGCGTGTATACATATATATATATATATTTTTTTTATATACTATTATTAAGATTTTTTTTTTAATCATATAACATGTTTTATACGCTGTACCCCGGCCGTTTAATCGATCCAATTTCGGACGCTGGCTCGCGCGCCGCAGACGAGGCGGCTATATAATAAAAAAAAAAAACATTATCGTGTTATCCTGTGCCCGCATCACGCGTATTACACGCGGTGCAGACGATGCGCGCGGCCGGTGACGAATAATTTCACTTTGCATAGAAAGCGGACGCGCGAAGAAGCAAAAAAAAAAAAAAAAAACCGAACGAAAATCCGATTGACGGGGCACGTACGTGTTTGCCGGGCGGCGGCCGTGTGTTTTCGCGGCCGTTACCGCGACGCGCGTAGCACGCGTCCGGCGAAAAGCGACGGCCGCCACGACACGTCGCGCGGGAACCGGGGCACCCGCACACGACGGCGACACGGTGTTTCCGTCGCGGTAACACGAACGCGTCTCCCGGAGACGGCGTTTCGGTTTTCCCGTTCGGGATTTCCAACGGATACGGATTAGGTGGGTCACAGGCGCCCGCGAGTAAATGCACGCGCGTTATACCCGGGGACCCGGCGGGCCGCGGGAAAACTCTCGTCGGGCCGTCCGCAGCACGGACAACGATCCGAAACCCTCGCGTCCGACGGCGGCCATATTACCACTCGTCGCGCGTCTAGCGAGTTTAACGGGTCCCGACGGAAGTGTCCGGAGAGTTTCGGCATGTGACGGCGTGCGAGCCAGTTGGACGGGACGAAAAACAAATATGTACTGTGCCAAGCGGAATCGTCCTCATCTTCCTCCTTCATCTGTGATTTCCGGGCCGCGACCATAAGGACTGTTCCGTCATTTCACATCCAATGCACGATCCTTCCCACTGTATCCGTAGGTTCGTCCGTTCGACATACTACATCCTTTTTAGCGACCTTTTTTTTATTTCACATATCTCTATCTCGTTTCGCTTCTTCCCCGAGTTCTTTTTTTCCCGCGGATACCGCCGATTGATTATCGATTGTATTGTAGCCAATATTACTGACTCCGATACAAGCGCGTCCAGTTTATTGGATAATCTTCTCCGGCTCCGTGTTACGTCTACTGTATACCTACTGTATACGGGTACTTGCGGTTTGAAATAATGCCTCTGAGCATTTTAACTTTCGACGATAATAATGTCGCTAGACACTTGTAGTAATTATTATTCGATAATCGCGCGTATGCAAGGCCGTTTAAAACCCGTTTCAATATCGGATCGTATTTCGTATTTTTTTTATAAACCTATACCAAAGTAGTGCGTACAATATACACATGGGAAAAATACTGTGTGCCGAGCAATTATTTTTGTGCTAATCAGTCATTTGATATATTACGATGACAAATTATATTTCACTGGAGGAAACTGATCGGAGCGATTTTTCTCGACGGGTCCGTTAGACTATATACCTGCACGTGTTCGCCCTCTTACGTCCAATAAATAAAAAGCGATCATTAGACAAGTATAATATCCCGCTATTGTATTGTCTGGAGATTCGATTTGATCGAAAACCCAATACCACGTCGTCGGGTACATTATAATGTAGGAAACTTAATTCTTTTTGTTTCGTTCACTTTTTCCGAGTAGTTTAGCTCCTGTGTTACCAAGACGGAACAACTGCACGGAGCCCGGTGGCGACGACAGTCGATGATGATCTATAGACGAGAAAAAAAAAAAAAAACGAAATAAACCGTATCATCTTGTAAATATATCGTATTTCTCGCGTAATCCGATACACGCGCTTTTACACATGTACACTGCTGTAATATATGTGGGTCACGAGATAAATCTATATTATAATGTACCGAAATTCTCGTAATAACACGTTTTTGTACGCGCGCACGCACTGCGCTGGTTAATGTATTTTTCCATTACCTGTCCGCGAGAGCGCGCGTCAATAATATTATTATTATTGTAACCGTCGTACGTGATCCAATATAAAATATACAAACTTCGGCCGCCGTCGCTCGTTATACATCACTCGGTAGTGGAAAAAAAAAAAAAAAAAAAAAAACATTAGAAATAACAAACGGATTCGACAAATTATTGTACCGAAAATTAGAAACGGAATACCATACCGGAAACAAAAATACATTGCTCGAGCGCGGGTTCTTCCGAATTCCAAATAAACCGAAACACCGTTGCCAACTGCGAAATTTTAATTCGTAATGATTTTCGGTCATTCGAGTAGTTTTTTTTCGCCCCCGTGACACGATTAAACGTATAGCGAAACGAGGGTTTTTTTTCGATCGAAATTCTGACAAGAACTCGCGAACGTACGAACAAATCGATAATAATTATTAAGGTTAGCATATAATTCGTCTATGATTGGAGGTTGATTCCAAAACCATTCTGGCAGTTTTCGTTACATCAGGTCTGCCTTCTGCACTGTTAAAAACACTCGGATGGGTATTTATTTTATTTTTTTAAATCTCAACCGGCGTTTCCTATTCAAGATGCATTTGTCCACGGCGAAAATTCGGGGTCGTCTTATCGGACGTCTGGTGTCCTCGACAATAAACACGCTCCGAATAACGGACAAGACAATTTCGCCGAATTCGTAGTACGCCCCGATAACGAAAACGGGTTTCTTTTTTAAATCTTCGGCATTATTACACGTAATACAGATAGGTGTACTGTAACGCACGGGTTTTTTTTTTTTTTTTTTCCCCGCGATAACCATCACGGTAAACGGTTTTTTTTTTTTTTTTGTTTGTTGCCGTTGTTTTTAATTATTAAAGACATTGAGAAATCGTATAATTAATCGTTTGTGCGATTTTACGAGACGATAAAAAAAATCATGTGTATACAATCATCGTTGCGATGATGTCGTGTATATTTATTGTATTGGGGTATATACCTACGCGCGTCTAGTAATAGGTCTGCGGGCACGCGATATACGACAACAGCCGTATCGCAACGTTGTTAAAAAAAAAAAATAAATAAAAAATACGTAGCGATAACGTACAAGAATGTATAATATCGTCGGTTTTATTTTTCTCCCCAGCATCGGTTCTCGATCAGCGGTCCCGCGTAAATATTTAGACAACATCTTTCGTCCGTATTATATTATTACAGTTGTTCGTTTTCGTTTAAGGCGACGGCGTATCCATACACACATAATAATATCATATAATACGCCGATGCAGACGCCCAAGGCCGCGGCCCGATCGAACCGCAATAATGTTGTGTGGTATAACATTCGTGTGTACACCCATATAATAGGCGCACGGCGTTTTCCTCGAGACTAGACGAACGAAAAACATTATATTTACGAAATCCGCCGGACGACCGGCGTGCGCCGATTTTTACTCGTTACATTGTTGTTATTATTATTATTATTGTCGCTACCTACTGCTGCGGTACAGGATACGGCTATGCACATAAACTGTACGTGTATAGCTAATACCGGCGGACCCACGATAGATAAACTGCAGTTACGCAACTGCAACAGCGCTCGTCGAACGCGATAATGTATACAACGATAGCCGTAGAATATAATAGACGTATAACAATCGAAACCGCGGACGAGTGTAATCGATTTTCGTCGACTGTAATTTAAATTAATAAGACGCCGTAAAAAATTACACGAACCAAAGTCAAAGTTAATTTTAAAACATAAAACTCGAGTAAAAAGTTGCCCGATCCTGCACCGTGTATTTTGTACAAAACTATGCTTCGCTGGAAAAACACTCACGGCTCGTAGAATAGTAAGGTTTTTTAAAATTTGCAGATTTTCAAAATTCTGATTCCTAGACGCTGTATCGAGCGTTTGGAAAACTATACATACAAATTTTCATAATTCCATTCCGATACAAATAGTTTTTACTATTGAAATTAAAATAAATAAATACATATTCGAATTGGAGCTATTCACGAAGTGTGAGAGTTTTTTCCGCGGTTTCGCACATTATTGGTACAGACGACCGCGCCGAGACTTTAACGCTCGCTCGATGACGCCGACCCGCAAAGAGGGAAACCGGACAATCGATCAATCCCACATCGTCTCACACGCAGCGGACATCGGTATTATTGTTATTATTATTATTATTATTATTCGTTTGAACTCAAGTACCTACCTTATAAAATATATTAT